TATTTCGTTTATAGAAACAAGTCCTCGTGGTATACGTACTCGAACCGCTGTGTCAGGCAGTTGCAGCATATGATAACCATTGCATCTCATTACTTGCTAAACGCAGTCGTCGAAAGACCACCAACCAATTCATCTTCCAAAGCACCGTTCATATGCAAAGCTCCTTCGCGCAGCCACCGTTTATAAGGGGATATGAAGCAGTATCCCCTTATAAATGTCTTGTCGCAATTAAATGTCTTGTTCTCTTGTCGCAATGAAATCGATATGTGCATCTGAGTGCCTTAACTTTAATTTTAATTTGAAAGATATTTCTGGAATACCGAGTACCATTGTCTGCACTTGTTTATTAAATTTCCGTATCTCGTGCGGTTCCATCTAATTTTTTTTGGATAATATCGCATTCCCGGATATCTATCAACGCTATTGTTTCGCTGACAGTCCAGCGAGCTATAATTTTCACATCAGCCATGTTGTTTATTAAATTAAGGAAATCTCCCCATTTGCCCTGCTCCAAAGAGGTAAATTCTACCTCCAGTTCCGAGAGGTACTAAATTCTACCTCCAGCTCCGAGAGGCAGTTAATGCTTGTTCGCCATGTGAATGGGACACGTTAGAAGAGTCGGTTTTCGCCACCGGTCAAATCTTCTCTTGTGAACGGGGTTCAAGTGATGACTGCCGCTGCAATAAGCAAGTTAATATCTACTAGTATTGTGAGGCAAGTGTTAAGTCCTGAGTGATCCGATGTGACTGCTACTGATTAAGGTGAATTAATATAGAAAATGAAGTAACACAGAAAGTTAAAATTACCCAAGTTTTACCTACAAATGTTTGGTGTGATTTCGTATGTTATTATATGAACAACAAAAATTATGTTCTTGCTATATTCATTCCAAGATATTCATTACTATATTGTCTTCTTAACAAGATTAGTGAGGATTTCAAGATCCTGCATATTTGTGGACAAGTTTAGTAACAAAGAATAAACTATTTCAAATGTACTTCAGAAGAATAGATCTGAAGTATATTTGAAATCCGATTAACATTGGTGCAAGAATAGCTAGGCCTAAGATGAGCTGCAAAATAAAAGGAGAACAGGATTTTACCCAGCAATTGGTTTAAAACGTTTTAGAATTTAATCTTGCTAAAGAAGCTAACAAATTCTTTCGCCACACGTGACAAATGACTGGTGATGCAAAAAATTGCTTAAAATTATTTCTAATCTGTGTATCTCAAAGTCATATACCAAAACATAAGGGAACGGTATTTCAAAAAACGTTCCACTCTGAGTTTTGGGTTGTTAGAGAAGACTGATTAAGATACGCTTGAAGTACGTTAAAAAGTAATAAAATTAAATTGCATAATTTGGTTCATGGTTTCCTGTTTTCGATCATGAAATTGCAGTAGTGTATATGGATAGCTTATAAGAGTTTCTTCCTGTGTTATTCTCAGGACCGAGTACTAAATCCAATACAATGTAAACCTATTTATTTAGGTTGATTTTAGGTTCTTAGTTCGAATGTTATTTCAACTGCATTAATCTACTTTAATTAATCTACTAATCTAATGTAATCTTTGATGGCCTTCTTCGATGCAATCTAATTTTACTTAACAGTAATCTCTGCAAATAATGCTCAAAATTACAAGTATTAATCCTATGTACTCATGTTTTTTCTTTTGTACCTACCACTATATAATATTCAACTGCATTAATCTACTTTAATTAATCTACTAATCTAATGTAATCTTTGATGGCTTGAATGCCTTCTTCGATGCAATCTAATTTTACTTAACAGTAATCTCTGCAAATAATGCTCAAAATTACAAGTATTAATCCTATGTACTCATGTTTTTTCTTTTGTACCTACCACTATATATATTCAACTGCATTAATCTACTTTAATTAATCTACTAATCTAATGTAATCTTTGATGGCTTGAATGCCTCTTCGATGCAATCTAATTTTACTTAACAGTAATCTCTGCAATAATGCTCAAAATTACAAGTATTAATCCTATGTACTCATGTTTTTTTCTTTTGTACCTACCACTATATAATATTCAACTGCATTAATCTACTTTAATTAATCTACTAATCTAGTGTAATCTTTGATGGCTTGAATGCCTTCTTCGATGCAATCTAATTTTACTTAACAGTAATCTCTGCAAATAATGCTCAAAATTACAAGTATTAATCCTATGTACTCATGTTTTTTCTTTTGTAACCTACCACTATAAATATTCAACTGCATTAATCTACTTTAATTAATCTAACTAATCTAATGTAATCTTTGATGGCTTGAATGCCTTCTTCGATGCAATCTAATTTTACTTACAGTAATCTCTGCAAATAATGCTCAAAATTACAAGTATTAATCCTATGTACTCATGTTTTTTTTTTCTTTTGTACCTACCACTATATAATATTCAACTGCATTAATCTACTTTTATTAATCTACTAATCTAATGTAATCTTTGATGGCTTGAATGCCTTCTTCGATGCAATCTAATTTTACTTAACAGTAATCTCTGCAAATAATGCTCAAAATTACAAGTATTAATCCTATGTACTCATGTTTTTTCTTTTGTACCTACCACTATATAATATTCAACTGCATTAATCTACTTTAATTAATCTACTAATCTAATGTAATCTTTGATGGCTTGAATGCCTTCTTCGATGCAATCTAATTTTACTTAACAGTAATCTCTGCAAATAATGCTCAAAATTACAAGTATTAATCCTATGTACTCATGTTTTTTCTTTTGTACCTACCACTATATAATATTCAACTGCATTAATCTACTTTAATTAATCTACTAATCTAATGTAATCTTTGATGGCTTGAATGCCTTCTTCGATGCAATCTAATTTTACTTAACAGTAATCTCTGCAAATAATGCTCAAAATTACAAGTATTAATCCTATGTACTCATGTTTTTTCTTTTGTACCTACCACTATATAATATTCAACTGCATTAATCTACTTTAATTAATCTACTAATCTAATGTAATCTTTGATGGCTTGAATGCCTTCTTCGATGCAATCTAATTTTACTTAACAGTAATCTCTGCAAATAATGCTCAAAATTACAAGTATTAATCCTATGTACTCATGTTTTTTCTTTTGTACCTACCACTATATAATACATTTATTGCATTACATGCGCCCTTTGTTTTGCATGTAAAATTTTATAGTTTACCATGCATATTTATTCTTTATTTGATTTTATAGCACTTCATACCTTGTCTTACAGTGATCAGTGGAAAAGTATATTTGACTTTTTAATAAGGTAAATTTCACATTCCTATCAGAGAAAGCTTTCTTTCGTTGTCTGAATATTTTGGCGTGCATGAAAAAACAGCTTTAGCAAAAAAGGTGGAGCAGTAGTACAAAGACTATTAAAAACAGTTATTCTTCATTCGCTAAAGCTTTTAGTAACAATGAAGTAAAAATAAAATTTCTTAATTATCTTTGCATTCTGCTGGTGTAAAATCCCTGGAAATATATTTAATGAGAGTGGCTGCCTTTCCTCATATTCTCCGTAATATTGCAGGTGCCAAATTTAGGATTTTGATTCTTCACGATTCTTCCGTCACATTTTTACTGCATAGGCATTGCTGATACACCAGATGGCATTTAACCCAGTTAATGGTGTCAATGACACTCACTATTAGGTTAATGAATATATTTATAATGTTGTTTACAGAATATTTTTAAGATTCTGGCATTTAATAAGACCAGTTGTAGTTGTTTATTTCGACTAACTCAGGCCTGAAGTATGAATTGTAAAATGAAGTGTGAATTTATTGAAAAGAAGAGATGTCTCCAACATATTCTTCTATACGAGTGCAACGAAGTTTCAACTACTGCAGAAGCTTTCGAATAAATCTGTGATGTGCATGAAGAGCAAACTACTGATGAAAAGACGGTGGAGAAAAGGATCGACATTTCCCGGAATGCAAATTTTGATCCGTAGGATGACATGCACTCTCGCTCATCGCATTTTGATGAGAAGCGTTTGAAGAACCTGATCAATCTTGATCCCCACAGAAACACTCTCGAAGTACAGTACCACGTGTTTGATTGTCATCACTTAAATGTATTACATTTGACTTATTTATACACCAAATGTAGTATTCATTTAATGCACTCACAAATGCATATATGTGTATACATACAATATAATTTCACTTATATATAATATTGATTTATGTTATAAGAGTGTTCATATGTAATACTGTGCTATTCAAAATATCGTGTAACAAAAGAAAATAATATGTACTGAACAACAGGTCTTGTATGCCAATGTAACTGATTTCAGCAGAAATGACGTTCAATTTCGTACGGCAAGAACTAGGACGGATGTCATCTTCGAGGTGTATAGTACCACGTGTTTATAGAGAATTTCACTAGAAAATGTCAAATAGGTGACATGGCATCATCATTCACATAAAAACGCTAAACTATATGTTGCAAGCATGATAAAATTTGCCAATTAGAGTCTTAATTGAATGGTTTTTCTATACATGGGATATTTCCCAGATGGTGCAGCTACAGCGCATCTTATTTTCATACTGCCAGCGAATACACTTCATGCCAGGTTCTCCGGAAGCGCAATGATCAACTGAAAACATTTGTGGATAAGTATAATACATTAAACCACCAACCCAAACCATACCAGAAACAATAACATCCAAACCATATCAGAAAGTTGAGAAAAAATGAGTTTTGTATGGAAATTGAGGTGTGATGCATTATGGAAATAGTTTAACATTTAAATCAGTAAAAGTACAATGGTAAAAAATGAAACCTATACATCAAAGTAATACTACAATGTGTCGATTAACTGTTGAAACATACATGCATGGGCTTGACATTTGAAAGTCCATATGCCTGGTATTTAAATAATACATTGAAAAAACTCCTTATTTTTAAAGATATCATTAAATATTTGCTAGCATTATGTCATATCCCACTAGGATAAAAAATGTACATATCAATTGTGTACAATTAAAATTTATTGAATATACAAACAATGGACATGTATTAGTGAAAAATACAACATGATGAACGTTTAAAATAAGGGATTCCATTCTTCCAATAAACAGCAGCTTTTTGATTCAATGAGTTCATAGAAGATCACTACGAAGGGATCAGGACCAGCCTGAATACTTTTTGATTGTTAGAGATGTGTCTCCTGGAACTCCTGAAAGAGAACAAAAAAAACATCAGCTCCAAAGGAGGACAAATCTCCAACAATCAAAAAGCTTTTGCCACAAATACTAACAAAAACACTTATGTTATATTTGAGATCACGATCTACAACATGCCGTTTTTGATGAAACAAAAGAATTTAATGACTTCTTTTTTTTCCCTTTCATAATTAGCTGCAATTGTAGAAATGGAACTCGTGAAAAATTTTACATAAAGTTAACTTTTGCAAATTCAAAATCAGATAATAAAAATTAATTATAGTATATTTGAACAAACATGACGTCTCGAAAATATCAAGTAAGAAAAAACGATTGGAATGTTTTCGAGAATTCGAATTCCTGATAACTTGAATGAGTTTACTACATCTTTTCAAAGTTTTTCTTTCTAGGTCCAGCCATTCCCAGAATGTAATGTGTAATTGTTATTATAATTTGAACTCCAACTAATTCGTTAAATATACCGGATTATTCACAAGGTTTTCAGCACTAGCATATATTATAAATCTCTAATTAGTTATTATAATTCCAAATGCAGAATTAAATAAAATATATGAAATGAAAATCAATATTTTCCTGTTACATATAGTTTTTACAGCATTTTACTTTATATTGCATCTGGGTAATTAGAACTTATATATCGTCGATCTATTTAGTGATTTCATATCCTTTGAGCAATCATTCAGAAAAAAACTTTATATTATATGTTTTTTCAGGAATGTTTTTTATAAAAATTCAAACTTTTGATTAAAGTTTCAGTCGTATCATAATACAAATACTTTATGGAGTCTTTATACACCAATATTAGTGTATTACTAATTGCACATTTTCGTTTTGTGGGGAACGGCATCATCTCTATTTTTTACTCCCCCACGCAATCTGGATGCATAAAGTTGCACTGATCAACAAATAATATTGGCTGAGACGAACATATATACAGAATTATGAAGGTGTCTCAATAAAATAGGTTTATTCAATAAATGCAAATTAAATTCTTCATAAATTCATTCTTTATAAATTTAGTCTGTAAAAGCTATTAAGGCACTTTATAGCTTGAAATTTAAGGATGGACATGTAATGCTGAAATAATAAATGAAGCAAATATCGTATGACATTATATATGATAGAAATTTAAATTAGTTTAAAATTTTTTGATTACCCAGAAATTTTAATTAGCAATGAAGTTATCGAAATCTTGAATGAGTTGAATCCCAAGTTTTTGAGTAAGGTTTCGTTAAGTTTAGTAACTTAAGGTAGGTTATTATTTAACTGAAAAAAGAAGGATATGGGGGCGCAGTATGCAGCTGTATTGCGAAAAAGGAAGAATACTTTTTTGCCAGTGTTGTTTGTTTCGAATGATCAACGGACGGTAATAGGAGATTTGACTCTTAACCGTGACAGAAATTGCGGCGAAAAATTTCAATACTTTCCTGTTATTTAAAACAGGTCGCTAGCATTTTCTCTTCTGCGAAGGAAAGAAAAGTTTCTTATGAAAAGAAACAAGGTTGGCAGTAAAACATAAGTTAATAAAGAAAATTTCCATCAGTGTTTGAACTAAAAACTTTAAAATTTTTCCGTTGCAGATTTGTATTCTTATCGGGAGAATTCTTACAAATTTTTGCTCTGTTATCGTTGGATAATGAAGACTTAATTAACAAATGACTGGCTAGAGTTAAGGTTTAATTGACAAACAAATAGCAAATTAATATTCCAGGACTGCAGAGAATAGTTAGAGATAAACATAGCTGGTTGAGCGGAAGGAATAAGAGAACTGCTGCTCAGAAAATAATAAATACTTAGGTGCCAACTATTTTCAGTGATTCTTCGAAGATTCTGTTACGGAAACAACAAAAGAATACAGATATGTGAAATAATAACTTATAATTCATTTTCAAGTACTTGATCATGTTTATCGTATCACCTTGAGATAGATATGTACTGTAAAAAATATTGTTGGAAATATAAACATTATCTAGTTTATTGTAACTTACCTTTCCAGAAATAAACATATTATGTAAATAATGCTTTGTTAATGGCTTCCGAAATAAAATAATTAAAAAGCTATTTAATTATTTAAAAAAAGCTTAAGAAGTTCAATTTCTTATTGTATAAGGTATTTTTTCCCTCCTTCCAGTATGCCATTGTGGTGTAACGGTAGCACACTCGGTGCCCATTCGAGAGGTCCAGTATCGAGTCCCGGCGAGCGCATTGCTCATTTTTTTCACGCCTCCTGCTTCAGAATAACCTTATCACTCTACAGTGAGTTTGACTCCCGGCGAGGGCAATGCACATTTTTCATATGTCCTGCTTCAAAAAAACCTGTTGCCTTTACAAGTGTAATCTGATAATGTGTGCATTAGAGGTATACTGAAGAACTGTAGGCATAGGTTCTAAATTGGTCGAAATGATTTAAAGTTACTAATGTAATCCTTGATTGGCCGGTCAAAATAAAATTAAACTGATTGATTGATATTCAGAGAATGTGTATTTTATTTCTTAATGTATTTGTAACTGTAGAGAAGTTAGAAATAAAACATAAATCAAATATTGTAGTACTTTTCTTTCCTTACTATTATTTTTTTATTATATTGTTTTTGGTCTTTCAAGTCATCTTATTGTTAATTACATTCCTAATCCATGGGTTCTTCTAAATCACGAACTTAACAAAAATTATTATTTGATTAATTATGGGTTATTGCGGCATGCATATATAGATGATGCTTGTAAACTTATTAAACCTTGGTAATACGGTTGCATTGAACAATAAATTAAATTTATAGATGAAAATGTATTTTAGAGAGCTGGTGATGGAGTTGTTATGCGTTAATACTTCTCTGGCGTTTTGGTATATGCTTATTATTGAATTCAATGAATAATATTTACAGTTTAAATGTAGTCAGTGGGCACTATGTTAAAGTAGAAAGTGTGGGGATTTTTGATTCTTTTATGTTCCTTCATGTGACACGGATTACTTTGAACAGATGCTTAAACCAAATTTATTAAGTTTTTCACTGTTTTCGAGAACAAACAGAAGTTGCATTTTAAATACATAATTACTACCAGGATTCTATAGAAAAAACACCTTACTGTTAATTCTGTCAGTCACGAGGTTTAAAATCTCAGCTTAAAATAATAGGCCACCAGTCAATATATTTGCATTTTTGGAGTAGTTATTTCCCTCATAAATTCTTTAAACAGATTTTACTTTTTGTCAAAAGAATTTTTGTGGTTTTTAGCTGCATTAGTCAATTTTTGTTTAAGATGTTTAAATCCAATGAACAACTTAAGTAAGTATGTCATAGTATAAGCGTTTATAATAGTTAAATACTCTGACGGAAAAAGTTACAGAGAAAAGATCAGTATTAAATTAAGATAAATTAGCACCGATTTTATTATTCAGTAAGATAAAGAGATGGATGCGTTTTGTGACTTAAATCGTTCTTCAAGAACGATTCAAGAAGAAAGCATTCTTATATCAATTTCAGGAAATTGTTTATAATAACGAAATGGGCTCAGTCCCTGATCGAATACTGCAAAATTGAAGCTATCTAATTATTTCGATCCCAAATATTTGAACAGTTTCAGTGCCAAAATTCTCGATAGCTCATCAACGTATGTTGCAAATTGTCGCCAGATAATCGATAATCCTAATCAAATTCACGTATAGCTTGCCGTTCTCTAAAAGTGCCCTGAACAGTCATGTTTTAGTGTTATATTCTATCATATTTTCGCCTTTTCCTCAAAATATTTTAATAACTGTTGACTTTTTAAGAAGTGAGAAATATTTTGACGACTGCCGGCCATTTGGTTGCAGATTGCAACATACGCTGCGACTTATTTGCTGCAAATTGAATAAGGGAATATTATTGAATTTTAATAAAATTTAACATCAATTTTTACTTTTTATCATTGCTTAAGTCTTACACTGATAGATTTCTTTGTTGATTACCTCTTTGAGATCCGGACGCCATAGCGAGTGGTTTCCTCGCGGGTGAAGAGTAGTAGGACGACTTACCGCCGTAGCCATCATGGTCTTTTATACTCTTTTGAGGAAATTCACTCAAACCCATGTGCTCGCCATTCCTGCCTTTCCGGCTGTCTGAAAAGAAGCCCAGACATAAAATGAAATCATGAATTAACAAAACTTAAGAAATACTGTTGTAATTAAAAAGGATTTTAATGACAGGAAATAATACGAGTTTAAATTGAAATTCTGACAAAATACAGTTTTATTTTACTTAATTAGAACTTTATGCAAATATTCTACTCTGTGCTTAGACATATCGTGATAAACTAGAATTGATTTCTTTTTCCAGTGATTATATGACAGTTTTGATTAGAAATAAGTAAGATTTGTTTGTTTCACAGATAACAGTTAAAACAGCTTAGTTGTGGCAAAGATGCACTGTTTGAGAAACAATCGAAGTTATCATTGGAGTTTGCAGATTTATAATTGTAATTGTCGATAGAGACGATAATTCCTCTTCCACCGAAAGAACATGTCGATGTGAGCCTCAGAGTCGACTAGCAAACGCTCACAGGGCATTTTCCACAATCTCCCTTCCCCGTCCTGGATTCTTTTTTTTTTTCCTAGTATAGAGGAGTTTGCTCAGAGAAGTCATCGAAGATTCCGTGTAAAGAAGGTATAATTTCATTGAAGTTACAGGCGTTCGTTCTACAGTTTAGGACGGTGTTACAATATTATTTATTGGTCAAATTAAGTGATGTCCAAGAAGGCTACTAATGACATTCACCATCATTTCATTAGCTGAGTCTTAACACTTCAGCTAGGAAGGCTCCAGGAAATTACCAACAACTTCTAAAGAGCTGGAGAAGTTAGTAAAATCGATAGTAAAGTTATAATCAGAGATGCATCCGGTCTAATAGTAGAACAGACAATACACAGCGCTTTTAGAATGACAATTAGGACATACTTGAAAATGAAGAACAATCTATATAAGCATTATCACGCAATAATGTCCAAAATATAGGCAATGGTCAAGTCTCAGTCAAGACCTTGTTGCTTTTTCAGAGTAAAAACCACAAACAATAAGTAAATGTCCAAACTAAGAATACCACGCAATATCAAATAAGTCTGTCCATACTAGGAAGACCACGCAATATCATAAATCTGTTCAAACTATAAGTGTGCCCATACTAAGAAGACCACGCAATATCAAAAGAGGTAAGGGTTGCTCTAGTTTGTAATATCGATCCAACTACTTAAAGTAAAGATTAAGATAGTGTCTAGCAAGGGGGTTCTTCTTTTGGACTGTCGAAATATGATATTCGGTTGACAGAAGAGGCAATTAGCAAAAGCTCCAAACTGCGAATATTAGTTGAGACTAAAAAAGCAAAGAAATTAAATCCTTATCTAATAATGTACCATGAAGAAAACATATCTAATACTGTAAAGACTCAAAACTATGAACTGGAAAATGCAAACATTGAGGTAGCTTTCGCTACGAGAACAAGAAAATTGCACTGGGTATTAATACTAGTCCCAACGAATTTAAATCACATGATTGTAGACAAGAAAAGAATCTGCAATAGCTTAGGTATAACATCAGGAGATAGATACTGATATCACTGCTTAATCTGTATGTTTAAAATACGTACAGAAACACCAAAAGTATACAAAATGTTGCATAGACAGCCGTTAAAGACCCGAATGCAAACGAAAAAATACCTGAATATATAAACGTGTGATAAAAATAATTATAACATATACTAGCTTAGGATTCGGCACTAAAACAGAAGATCGTCCATTCCATCAAAACGAATTAGGAGATAAATTACTATTGATTTATAAATTATTATTCCTAAGAAATATATTAATTATTAGCTCAAGAATACTAATAAATCTGCAGCCTGCTAGTAGTTCTGGGGCATATTTTAAAAGAAGAATTGGATTCAAATAAATCTATAATAATTAAATAAAGTTTGAGCGGTTTTCGCTTTATGTAGTAGAAAATATCACTCCAATTAAAAAAAATCAAAAGTATTAATTCCCCTCTTCTACTGTCCATGCAATGTTACATACAACAGCAAGTAATGGCTCTTTTGATTAAACAGTCCGTCTTCATTAATTGTAATAGAAGAGTGTTGTTCGCTTTTATCTGACATTAATATACTTCTAGTTATCATTCAAGGCTAAATGTCCGTATATAATGAAAATTATATTAGTTACTGGTGATTTCAGTGCTAAGCATCCATAGTCGTAGCTAAGGTTTACAGCGCCCAGGGACAACTGAAGATTTCGCACCCCCTCTGCTTGCCAAGAATGGAAAACATTTAATTCTAAAATGTCGCAACATCAGTTTGGCGCACCTTTGATTCTGCGCCCGGGGACAGATGCCCACCTCTAGCTACGCCCCTGTAAGCATCTGCTTAAGGGATACTAGGCGGTGCTGAGTAACTAAAATAAGTTTTTAATTTATACTTGAGTTTACTTTCATTATTCAAGGACAAGAAATCCTCATTATCTGCAAACTCTTGACGTCTATCAGGCAGACGCAAGATTGCGTATTCATAATAAAAGATCTATGATGATATATTTCAGAAAGATTACAGAGAAATAGCCTGTTGAGAAATGTTGCACACTTTTCGGAGCCGTTCGATAGGATATTGTATGCTCACCATTCATTCGCCCACCTTCCTTGAGCTAACTTCATTGTTCCCCTAACTTAGGAATGCAAACACTGTAATAACTCAATCAATAAAATAGTTTTGTAGTTCATATTTTTAGACAGATCGAGTATATCGCCGATTATGCATAATGTGCACTGAAGTGTTTTATAGCCACGAGAAATGAAAGAAACAAATTTAAGAAATTCCAGATAACGATGTTTTCCAACTGCATAAGTAAAAGAAGGTAACCAAATAATTCTGCGTTCTGTAAAACATCAGCTACATGAGAACTATTTCCCTCTTTTCAGACTATTTTCCTCTTTTTCTTTTTTTTGTGGTTTCTTCACATGGTCAGGAGAAAGCATCTAATAGTCTTCATTAAAAAAGGGGGAAAAAATGAAAAAATCCTGCAAATTCTACTGTTCGAAGCCAAATTTAAGTGAATTATTTTAATGAGTTTTAATGATAATTTAAACGGATTTTAAAAATGTTCATCCAGATACGGGGCTTTTATCTAATATCCAAATGTTTTTATATCAATAATATACCATAGTTACTCATAAATAAGATCTTCACTTACTTTGCTATATTTTTGTTCTAATATTTGGTGGGGTCTTATAACTGAGCATTTTGATAAATGAAATTTCAGAATGAGAGCAACGAGCTTAATTATGGCACTATATAGAATTATAACACTTCTCAAACACTGAATAAGCCGCACAACAAATTTTTGTGAAATTTCCGTATATTTCGTGAAAATAACGTGTGTTCGAAAATTAGCGAGTTTCCATTGGGAAAAACGCAGCTTTTCCGGCAAACTTGTATGTGTTGTGTGGGAGGTAGGAAGTAAGTCCTTTCTTACTTCCATGCCAGGGTCGAAGGCGGCAAGTTAAATCCTTAAAGGAGGCCATTTTGGGTATCACCCCTGCTGGGAGTATCCACTTCTCGCTTTGCAAATAAAGAACGATAATTATCTGAAAGATCCCGTTGAAATTAGGCGCTTCTTGCATCCCGGGGAAGCTTTGTCTTTCCTTTGTGCAAAAATAAATTAATTAATTAAATCTGAAAGCTTTCAGATTTTACATTACGCCCAAGAGGGCGTTTTTTTACGTTTTGAGTGTTACCTTTATTTATTAAATATCATGTTCTTCGCATTTAAAACATAAAATTCAGTTCAAAACCAATACCGCAAAATAATTTTAAAATGAGCATATCTTTAGCATGTCCGTAACACAGTCTCTCGCGCTGGAGATAATTTTTTTCCGTACACTGTTGCCATTGCTCTACCTTGAAATCGTTGAGTTTGCTAATCGAAATATGCACCAGAACTCCTGGCAGGTTGCAGATTTATTAGTATTCTTGAGCTAATAATTAATATATTTCTTATGAATAATAATTTATAAATCAATAGTAATTTATCTCCTAATTCTAGCTCTAGTTCTTTTTGATGGAAAGGACGGTCTTCTGTTTTAGTGCCGAATCCTAAACTATACGTTATATTATTTTTATCACACGTTTATATATTCTGGTACTTTTTCATTTGCATTCTGGTCTTTAACAGCTGTCAATGCAACATTGTGTATACTTTTGGTGTTTCTGTACGTATTTTAGACATATATAGATTAAGCAGTGATATCAGTATTTATCTCCTGATTTTATACCTAAGCTATTGCAGATTCTTTTTTTGTTTACAATCATGTGATTTAAATTCGTTGAGACTAGTGTTAATACCCAGTGCAATTTTCTTGCTCTCGTAGCGAAAAGTACCTAAATGTTTGCATTTTCAAGTTCATAATTTTGAGTCTTTACAGTACTAACTATGTTTGAAATTTCATTTACAAAGTCGTTAAAGTTTTACAAAATATGAAGTAGATAATAAAATAAATTCCAAATTAGTGCTTCCAAGACCCATATTCGGTAGAGGATTTTTGATTTGATGTCTCTGGCTACCGTTGTTTTATCACAATGCGAGAAACATACATACATTCATGCAGATTCTTCATTACTTAATTTCTTTAAATGCAATACAGGGCTCTAATATTTGGTGGCAATGATTTGTAATTGAACCGGCATTCATAGTGAACCAAAGCAAAATTCAAAAAAAAAAAAAAAAAAAAAAAAAAAGCTTCAGTATTGTTTTCGCTTACTAATTCAGACCGCGTTATAATCTGGAACTTCACGTGCTAAATTTTAAAATAAATCGAAAAGACAACTTGTCTCAATACCTTCCATCCCGAGAGTTGGACGACGTTACAATATAAACTACATAACTGTAGCTTATTATCATAGTCATGTCTAACTGAGAGATTTAAATTTACGCCTGCATTCACTTTACTGGTTATTAGTATGCTTCAAATCAAATTGGTAATAATATATTATACTTTTTTTAAATTTTTCTTTACATACCATAATAAAATATTGTAATTAATTAAGTAGCTTGAATTTCATTCTGATAAGAAACACACGATGGCTATTAGAACCATGCTCTTCTCAAATATTCGCCTACATGTCTATGACTCAATGTCCTGCATACTTAAAGTCAGAACTTTCATTCATTTCAGAGCGCATTTGTACACTAAATATGTTTTATTTCTATGTATACTCAGATACTACAAAAACACATTACTTATATTTTCTGTTGACAAAATTTACTTGAAGCCCGTAAAAGATCGGTTTTTCATAGCGTAAAATTACCATTTCTCAAAAATGTCATAATTGTTAAGTTGATGAGGAACAGTGACGAAAATATGTAATCGTAAAATAATATTTTCCATAAAAGCGTTCCTTAATACTATTGTTAAACCATAATACTACTGAAACGAAAAAAACCCACAGGAACGAAAATTAACTAAATAAATTAATTAAACTAAAAAATTACAGCTACCAAACTGTCATTTTTATTTAAAATTTTAAATATTAGAAAACTCTACAGTTTAGTTCTATTTTCACAGTCCCGCAATATTATGCTACCAGAAACCACAGTTTTGTCTCGGCGAATTTCCAGTTCTCAGATTTTTCATTGCTCAAAATAATCCTTAATTTTCCTCCTGAACGTTTAATTTTGTTTTACTTAACTGAGTAATTTATTAAATATTATTTAAATAGTTTGATTTTAGAAACAAGGAGCGTACTTATTATTCATATTAGATTTTTTTAAAAACTTTTCGTTATACATGTAAGTTATTTAATTTATAGTAAATTTAATCCATGTGATATGAAATACACTTAAATTTTTATTTATGTCATTATTGTAAGTAATAAAAGATGCTTCTATTGCTATAACTTATTTTTTTTTTTATCTCGGTGCAGAATGATCGTTTGACCACTGCCTAGCCAAAAATGTCATCCCATAATTCCGATTTTAAAAATTAGATTTTGCATTCAATTGCGGTATAAAATATTTAGATATATTATTATTTTTATATAATAACTAAATAAAACTTTTATTTAATATACAGACTACATTTTAACATATAATTTGATTAATTTAATATATTTTAAATAAATATATATTTAATAAACATTTTATTTTAATACATGAATAACATTCCACTGAAATTTATAAACAATAAGATATTTGTATCGATTTGTGAAAAAATAGTTATTCGTATCATATTACAAAATTTCATATCAGCACAAGGAATTCTTAATCTATGTTTCTCTAAAAAACAACATATAAACAGAAATAAAGAAAAGTACATCTTCTATCGGTAAAAAACCTGAAAAATGATATTCATTTTCATTTTAGATTGGAATATGATCGTTTAAGTAATTAGTTAGAATGAACTTCACTAGATGGCAGCATTACACATATAAGCTAAAGCATGATATTTGTAAATTTTAATTTCTCTAATAGATGGCAGCACTACACAGGCAACTTAACGGCCTTCATTTTGAATGAACATTGGTTGCAGAATGGGGTACGACATTAAGGTTACGTGAAATTATCTTTTCTAAACATTTTATAAATGTTCTATCCTGCTTTTATTCTTTCGTACAAATATCGTGCAAGTGTATTCCATCGGTAGCAGTTTAAAAATTTATTTTAAAGTACCCCATGAAATATAAATTAATATAATGGCTCTACGTTTAATTTTTAAAATGTATTCATTAAATTCATTGATTGAGATGCTTTTACTTTGTATATAACGAGTATCGAAGAGATGTTTATATCAGGAGCAATAATATTATGATCTGAGCCGGCCTCAAGCATAAACGACACGCATAGGCGCAAGTTAAGATTTTCTCGCAAGCGACACCTAAAAAGACTACAATAGGCCTTGAATTACGAATATGTTGGGGAACCAAGCGTATTGATTTAATTGCATTGACCCCAACTGCATGCCGGCCAAATGCACGTTCTGTTAACGGCCGTAATTTTTTTTAATGAAAATGTTTATCAACTAAATAAAAAATATTTATTTTTTATTTGAAATCTAAGGTTTAGTCCCTGCAAGTCATTTTTGTCGGCTATATTTTGCAATTCAAACATATCGATAGTTATATTAAGATTTTAGACTATATTTATTTAAAATAATTGTGGTATCTTTCATTCATCAATAACTAACTTTAATTCAAACTAAAGAGAAACAAATTATGAAGTTTGGGGTATTTGAATATGATAAAGCTACGAGAGATATCTGCCAAGAGGAAGGATGCCTTCATGGAGGACTTTCTGAGAGAAACTGGCTCGTTACACATGGTGAAAAACCACGAAAACCTACCATGCAGACAACTCCTGTTCGCCTGGGATAGGACCCAAAGTCGGTTGAACTACCAGAATTCAGTGATCTAGCCAGCTCGGGAACTCGAGAAGCAAATTATGAAAATCTTCTAAGTTTTCAGAGAAACTATTTAATTGTATTAATAAGCTATTTAATTTCTATTCGAAACTACATATTGTATAAGACAAAACACAAGTTACAACTACAAAATAAATAAATAAATTTTTTCTCCTGCCTGCGGGAGGAGAAAAGAATGAATTTATTCAAGATTTTATATTTGCCTTGCATTTCCTTTCTAAGTGCTCTTTATGAAATAAATCAAATGAGTAATTTTTAAATTTTACTCATAAAGTACAATAGCAAAGAAATTGGTGTTCAAAAACGATAATTCTCTAATTTTGTAATTTTATTTTATCACAACGAATCCTTACTCACAACAAATTTAACTAATGATATTTGTAAAATTACTTTTACACAAATTAATCTACCCCAAAGTGCAAACAGTTCTACATCACTTGTATACAGGACATAAAAAGTACGCATTTCAATAAAAAAAATTCAGAAATTGTAATAAAAGCAAATCTTTGACAGAATTTCGGACGGTAAGCACAGTACAGCCTTGAAATGTATTCTTGAGTTTTCCAATTTATTAATTGCACTTACAAATAATCAAATTAAACCCCTTGACAGCATATGGGATGTTATTAGGATTTGAAACACTAGTTAATATATCCTGGAATATCCCTTTAACCTCCTAAGTACATACTACCAACTGCTTAATGTCACATCCCAGTATATCCTCAGGAATCTTCCATACATTCCTGTGAAAGTGTGTGAATGTGTTGTGATGACTTAAAATCTACATATTTTTCAGTCTCAGGCCCTCAACTACTCAGTAGCTTCATGTTATAAGATGTAATCAATAATCTGTAACTCTTCTAATCAAAAACAAGCCATCGCATTCTGTATTCTCTACAGTCTAGCAAGTCACGAAAAGACTAAACAGCTTTAATAATCAATATAAAGCAGTTAAAAAAATGCGCTCAAGTTCTTACCTTCGCTCATGCTTCCGGTGTCTACTTGCCTCCGTAAACACATAATGACTGTAATAACAACAATTAGTAAGACAACGACGGAAATAACAACCGGTAGTAAAACAGTTAAGTTCTTGTAGAATGGCAGAGATAAAGTGTCCGACAATAGTGGCGGTATGTAACCTTTCGAAACAGGAGCTGTAAATAAACAAATATATAAAAATACGTTTTTAAAGAGATGATAATATTAGCAAATTCACAAAAAATATTTGAAAAATAAATTTGAATACAAATATATGAATTCTAAAATTAAAAAAAAAAATATAATAATTATTATTATTATTTAGTTTTCTTCCGTGGATTCAAATATTTGATACTTCCTTATTATTGCGTCTATCAAACGGCGCCAAGATTATTGACAAATCACCAATGCATATCAAAAGCTGTAATCAGACGGTGTCAGACTTAAACACAGTTACCTACAATGGTACTTATCACAAAGATCGTTACTTCACGGCCATTTCCGCATATTCGAGAGCAAAGTAAAAAGCATTTTTTGCAGAATGATTCTCCTAGATAAATGAGAATTTGTCGTAAAAAAAAAAGAAAATGAGAATAGAATAGTTATATTAAATTAAATTAACACGCATAAAAGGAAGAATTCACAGTAAATTACAGAAGGAAAAATGTAATTAGCAATGAAGAAACTTAAGAGAAAAAATTAATAGCAAAAACACAAATAACAGTACGGCATAGCTCTTTTCGTCACTGTGGATAAGCCTGCTACACGTTTACGCTGATATAAGATGTTTGTTGGCGATTTATCTATAATTTTGGCGTTTACGTACAATAATATAAATTTAAGGTTGAATTTAAATTTCCGTTTATTTTATTTCTTTGATTTGAAATTGTGTATTTTATTTGGCGTATATTTTTAGTCTTGAATAACATCCCGAACAATATTTGAAGATTTTCAGTTTTTAGCAGTGCGTTTTAACATTTTCAGGTTTCTCACCTATCTTAAATTTTCCTGAAAATAAGATATTAGCTCTATCAGAAAATTATTAAATATACGACCGTTTGTTAAAATCACGTCGGTTATACTTTTTTAAAAAGAAGTTTAAGTTCAAAGATATTACAAAAATCTGCAACAGAATTTAAGATTTCGAAAATAAGCATTGCTGAAGTATAATTTTCAGTTTAAACAGATTCTTAGAATCTACACTGGCTTTTAGGAACCTTTCTGTTTCCTAAAATACCATTGGCACAGATATATCCGCGGCTGTTATTCGCTCATTGATTGCAGAGTTGCATGTCCTAGAAAGCTCACTGTTACTGTGTGTTCATTCCTTAATTAAAATAACATAAGAGTTAAGTCATGTTAACTTGTTAATACTTGTTATGAATTTCATTATAGTATTGAAATCATTCAGTAGATGTTTGAACAGGAACACAAGTTCTTTTAAATAAGAAAAGTCACATTACTTTTCACTCTAATTAAATAATGGTTCATTACTTAAAATATATATTTAGCTTGTAACTGTAATTAAATTTTCGTTTAGCTCTAAGAAAGACCTGTGCAAAGAAAATTTAAATTGTTAAATGCGCTTCAAGTTGCATCTTAAATACATGAAGTTACTTTTATTGAAACAAATTCTAAGTAATTTTTTTTTTTTTGTAAAATTTAACTTGATATGTACATTTTATATATAGCTTTCGAATTATTTGTTACTAGTTCTTGTAGAAACGAAGACAACTAAAGTTAGCCTAAATATAGCAGTAAACAAATTTAAGAAAAGTAATGTCCATTAATTATAATCAACTTTATGAAATACTGATGCATTTCATGGCTTTTTGTAAAGGGTTTATAGTTTCCCAACGTGTCCGTTATTGCCCACCAAACTGCTGAAGAATTTTAAGAAACCATTACAGTTGTAAAGAACAGTTGGCAGGGACAATTGCTGCACAGTGGTCAATAAAAACATGCTTGAAATATTTGATTGTCTGAATGCTTTTGAAACAATTATTAATTTGATTACAAATATATTGTTGCGTTCGTACGGGTTCGTTATGAAATGAATGCACAAGTCCAATGAAAAATGAACAAAAATTTATTATTATCACAACAAAAATGCTTAAATTTTCTCAAATTATCATGTAGTATTACAATATCTCACAGTAGTTATCTTTTAACTACTCAAATGTCCAATAGAACGTAATTCAAAACAGCTAAAGAACGCTAATCCGCGAATTCGCTACAATCAACAAGAGCAGTTTTTCTAAACAACAACAAACTAAGCAACTACTACAAACTGAGATATTTTTCTCCTTTTATAAGATTTTAAAATCACGCGCTAGAATTTTCCAGTACTTTCTCGAAATCAAAAAAGAGATATTTATTTATTTAATGCACGCGCTCTTGTATTTTCAATTTTCCGGCTTAGCTTTCTTTTAATATTCGTCACGCGCTGCACTGCGCGAGAAATAAAACCATTTAATTTATAATTGAACTAACATTAGCTTTTTAAATACCAAATTCGTAACACTGCCCCCTTCCCAAGGACTGCACGTCCCGGGCAGTACAATCCCTGGACAGGAAGCTAAACTTACAACTGTGGCATAAATGCAACTGAGGCATAAACATTACATCACAATATCAAACAACATGAACAATAAATGCAATAACTAACTTAAACACATCAAATGCTATCAAATACTAAATACAAAACAAATACTAAATACAAATCAAATCAAATACACATTTAAAAACATAAAGGACCATGGTCTGATACTATTTACAATTATTTACATTACGTACTATGGCCATAGTAATGAGCTAACCTGTCGTAATGAACGACTTTAGGTTTAGAGTTCGAAGACTTACGAATCTGAACGATGACGTCATTTAGTCTGTTCAGCACTGTATACGGATCATCCGAAGGTGACTGTAATTTAGACTCAGTCCTTTTCGTTGAATCGGGTTCCACAACCACACCTTGTTTCCTTTGTTGGATCTATGTCTAGTAGCTCGCGTGTCGTATCTGGTCTTCTTCACTTTCTTCTCCGTCTGCCAAGTTGACTCGCTTTCGTGCAGAACGGTGCATCCCCTCAAACCGGGCCTGGACATTTTGGATGTGTTCCTCAGGCGATGAAGGCGCATCCGTATGGCGATCAAACAGGCGGTCATAAGGACAGACGAAGGTCTCGACCGGAAGAGCTTCTGAGATGGAGAATAGCTGGTAGTCTTGCGTTTCGTTTTCGACCCTAGCATGATTTCGGCGGCTTCCCGAGCTAGGTCGTTCAGACAAGGCGTTCGCATTTCTAGGTGAGGATCTCTTCTGATGATGGACAGTCATGTCACCAAGATGCTGAAAGCATTTTGTTGTTTTTGAAGTCTAAGGAAAAATTGTCCAATCCGATTAAAATGTCCAATCCGAGTATGCATGGATCTGTAATATTCCGCCACATAAGCCGCGTGTGTGGTAGGCGGCACTTCCAAAACGTGATGCTCACGTATAACTTCCCAGCTATCTCAATCTTGTCACCAGACGCAGTCTGAAGGGTAACACAGGATGGCGTCCAAATAAGTTTATCTTTAAAACTGTTCAGCTAAATCTTTCCTAATGATGGTACATTAGCTCCTGTGTCAATGATCATATCGCAAGGAACTCCATCGATATTCCCATTAATGGACATTCCGTTACTGTTGTCACTCACTGTATAAATTTTAAGCGCTTTAAAACAAGGTTTTTCATTATCTGACAACCTCCGTTCCTCGATATGGTCACTAATTTGTTTACTGCGTCGCTGCTGGGAAATGGTCTTATTTTCCGTACCTCGGGATGTTCTGCAATTTCTTCGTATGTGGCCTTCAACTCCGCATTTCATTTCCAGCATTTTAGAATTAGTTTCTTTTCACTTATGTTCCGTCTCAAGCCACTGACTTGTCTGGTAAAATCATCTGTTTTATTTTCTGTTTCAGTTTTATTTTATTTTCTGCATTCTGTTTTATTATTATTCCTGGGGTGTTCTGCAATTCCGTCTTAGGTGACCTTCACTACCACATCTCCAACACCTTAGAGCCACTTTCTTCTCGCTCCTACTCCGTATCAAAGTGTCAACTTGTCTGGCTAAATCATCTAAACGAAGCCTATCAAGTTGATCCACTGGCTCATGGACTCGCACAGCTCTAACTGGGTAGCGATCTGTACAAGTTGCTTGCTGACGGGCCTCGAACTTCACAGCGTACAACAGAGCGCCTTTTTGTGTCCTTTCACATCCTGCCATTCGCAGTGCTTTCTGTATTTCAGGGTCCCGGATGCCATCGATGAAATATTGCAGGGACAGGATTTCCCTTGTTTCTGTCGGGCACTCCGAAAAGGCGTGATGTGACAGCCTTTCAACATCCGTGGCGAGCTCCTGAAGCGTTTCGCTGAACTTCTGTTGACGAGATTTTAATTGGAGCCTGCTGTAGTCTTTTAAACATTTCTCGCCGAAGCGCAGCTCCAAAGCGCCGGATAGAGCTTCGAAATCTAGCCTTTGATTTTCGGGAAGCGTCTGCAGGATATCCGCTGCGTCTGCTCTCAGAGAAGCGGCGAGATGACAGGCCTTAGCTTGGGAATCCCATCCATTCGCATCCGCAACGATAGAAAATTGTGTCCTATACACCTGCCAGGAGGTCTTCCCATCATATGTAGATAGTTTCAGAACGGAACGAGCAGGCATCGATAAAAATTTGAAAACTTCAGAATTGTTTCCTACCGTCGCGATGCACTTCTTTAGGCTGTCAACTTCTTTGGCGACGGCAGCAGAAACCCTATCATCAATTTGTTGTTGGAAGGCCGAAACTCTTCCTTCGACTCGTTGCTCCACAGCCGACACTCTATCTTCTATTTCATCTTTGACAGAAGAAACCTTTTCTTCAATTTGCCCGACTTTATTTTCGACAGCTCCTATTCTGTCTTCCATAGCCTCAAATTTACTTTCTATTACGCAGGTTATTTCTCTTTTCATTTCGTCTTGACCTGCTTCAATCTTTTCTTGTACAGCTTTTATGTCTTCTTTAAAAGTTACTTGACCAGCTTCCAACTTTTCGTGAACGGCTTCCATTTCCTTTTTAACCGGATCTTATCTCTGCTTAACAGAGTCTTTCATATCTTCTTTAAATGATGCTTGGCCAGCTTCCATCTCTTCTTGGAATGCAGCAAAAGCACTAATGAGCTGTCTCAATTGTTCTTCCATCGCTCTTGTGATTGGCATTCAAACCCCACTCCTGACACCAAAAATTGTTGCGTTCGTACGGGTTCGTTATGAAATGAATGCACAAGTCCAATGAAAAATGAACAAAAATTTATTATTATCACAACAAAAATGCTTAAATTTTCTCAAATTATCATGTAGTATTACAATATCTCACAGTAGTTATCTTTTAACTACTCAAATGTCCAATAGAACGTAATTCAAAACAGCTAAAGAACGCTAATCCGCGAATTCGCTACAATCAACAAGAGCAGTTTTTCTAAACAACAACAAACTAAGCAACTACTACAAACTGAGATGTTTTCCTCCTTTTATGAGATTTTAAAATCACGCGCTAGAATTTTCCAGTACTTTCTCGAAATCAAAAAAGAGATATTTATTTATTTAATGCACGCGCTCTTGTATTTTCAATTTTCCGGCTTAGCTTTCTTTTAATATTCGTCACGCGCTGCACTGCGCGAGAAATAAAACCATTTAATTTATAATTGAACTAACATTAGCTTTTTAAATACCAAATTCGTAACAATATTATAGTTACTTATCTTTACAAGAATTATACTAAATCATGTAAATAGTTTTTTTTTACATGTGTTGGTTCAAGTTGCATGTAGGTTTTTTTTTTTTTTTTTTTTTTTCTGTTCGAAGTGAGTGTTTAGGAGAATACACTAACACCCGCGCGAGAGCATTCTCTTTGCGTAAATTGTTCTGTAATTGTGTAAATTTTCAATCTGGCAATATGTCATAGCATTTTAAAAATTTAATTCGGTGGAGCTCCTATGTCCACTTTGTGGAAAATAAAAGGCACGGTGTATATGAGGTCTTTCATTCTTATCTTGCAGTGATTTGCATCATGGTGGTAAGTTTAGTTCGATTTATTTGATTGTGAAGAACTTTATAAGGAAAACTGTTTCGTATTCTCACTAGACATAGGGAAAACCACGAAAACGGCTCGTTTGCTTGGAATCTAACCCAGATAGAACTACCAGAGTTCAACGACTTTACCAGTTGGTGACCAATCTCAGCAGTTAGTTAATTACCACCAAGTGAGCAGTTGTACCACCTGAAGGCCTTTCAGTCATAATTGCTCCCTAGGTAAAGGAAACTACGGACATTTATTTGAAAACCAGAGTCTACATAATTACAAACAGAATTAACAGCATTCAAAGTTTATGACTATCACTCTTAGAGTTCTGAAATGATCTACCGGTAAAAGCAAATGCTAAATGTTGCGAGAGATTGTGCTGTGTTGACAGTACATGAAAATATAAGTATATATATATTAATTGGAAAACAGTATTAAATCTTTTTACCATAACTGCTGAGGAATGTTATTAAAGTCTTAAAAATAAAGTAATCATTAGCAAAAAATGTAGTCCTTTTTCAACACTAATTGTGTCAAGCTGATTTAAATTGCCACAATTTCTGAAAGATAAGATTTAATTCATGCCTTAATTGTGAACTTTTGAGGATTTGTATAAACTATCCGCTGGTGTTTTCATGAATGTACAATATAAAATGGAGATCCCGTGTAATTTCGCAACCAAACACATAATGATCTTTAATGCCTGTTTCTCCGCTTAGACAATTATCCGTGTCGGTATAATCGTGCTAACCAAAAGGAAATAGATAAGTCAAAAGTGGACCATGAGCTGTTGTAAAGTAAGTAAAATGGGATCTTGATATTTTTTTGAGTTTCACTCTCACTTCTGGACCGCATTGATACTTGTTTGGAGGCGCGGGTTGTACAGCCCTGGCCTAGATAATACTTACGCGGCATCGTAATGTTGAGAGTGGTAAACCTGTACTCTGCCTCTGTTGTCCCTGCATCGCTATGGGCTGAAACTCTTAGAGTGTATTCCCGGTTAGGAGCAAGATGCCTGACATCCATAGATGTCTGGGAAGCATCCACTCTTTCGGCGACTACTTTCCAAAGTCCTTGAAACCGAAAGTGAACTGAAAAGTGCAGGATTGGACAGCCACCGCTGGACCATGCTCCAAAATGAAGAGTCACAGATGTTGAATTCACAGTAATGAAAGCATCCTTTTGAGGAGAAACCGGAGCTGCAGAGAAAGAAATATTTTATCTTTTTCAAATATTCTCAATATTCAAACAATGCACACGAAATAATAATACCCAATAAAAATGTATAATACACAATGCACATGAAATAATAAATAAGCATAATTAAAGCAAAAATGTTAAAATTTCAGTCTGAAAAATTCAGGCATTACATTTTTTGTTAAATGATAACTTCTTTTTTTATATACTTTTATTAAATATGACCCCTTTCCGTTACATTTCCTGCAAGTTAATTTAAAATGAAAAAGAATTGCGAGATACAACAATTAAATGTTAACAATTTTTCTTATAGGACTAATAAGTATTTTCTAATGGCTAATTTCTGTTAACAATTAGCAAAAAGTCAGTCCTGCATACCTTCACAGCAGTCCTTTTTTGTTTTAATGCATTTGCTCTAGCGTTTCTTCCAATACAAAAAGTTGAGATGAAAGTCATGAAAATTTATACAGTTCAAAACCATTGTCGTGTTCTTTTTAATGTCTTTAAAACGGTTAGAATCGTTAATTTTTTTCACGATAGTACGTAAATTCGATTTTAACATTTTTTCCACTTATCTTATATTTAACTTCCTATAGTAATAGAATCTTGCAACAATAACCAATTTCTTACTGAAACCTTTTTTTTTTTTTTTTTTTTTTTTTTTTCTGCATTTGACGTAACGAGATTTGCGCCTTTTTCTTTCTTCATTTTCAATAATAATTTGACCTTTTTTTGTTGCAATCATTTAATTAAACCCATACTTCATCAACAGTCATAATATATTTTCATACAGGGTTCCACAAACTGTTCTGCGTTGAACCACATGCTTCGGCAAAAGTTAGTAAACGTTATGTTTAGTTTTCTTTAAGTTATAAACTTTTATTTATCATTTTATTTATTGTTATTACAGATGTTTTAAACACTTTGTGGAACTATTCTTATACACGCCCTCGGTTGGCGACAAATTTCTCGCCAACTCCGCGGCGCCATATTACTATCTAAATTTTTCCTTACATTTCGAACTTCAAGCCAAAAATATCTGCAAAATGGCGGTTTTCGCACGTGCAAAAACCCCGTTTTTAACACAGAATTTATGCCAAAAATCCGAAACAAAAACAAAAAAAATTTTGACAAGAATACATATACACAGCAAACTTAAAAAAAAAAAAAAAAAAAAAAAAAAAACAGAGAAATACACAATCTATGCAGTGTAGAAATCTAGGAATTACGCACACCTCGTTAAAAGAAACTAAGATAGCAACAATAAATTTCAAACAATACCATGTACATAGCGTTCTATTTTAACTTAAAAAAATCAGGGAATTGCACAATCTAGGCATAGCGCACAAATCAACAAAATAAATTAAAATAACTAAAATAAATTACCAAAAATTCAAAAAACAACAATAACGACAGAAAATCATAGCAAAAAAATGAACATAACATTTTACAAAATAAGAATAACCATAAAATAAAATGCACTTGCCATTGTGAATGCTTCTTCAAGCAGCAGAAATACCAATTTCAAACATCAGCCAAAACTCATCAATTTCCACCACTTTATCTTTCCACCCTATCCTCTGAGACACAGAACATACAAAGTCCAGCATACATTCATGCATAAAATCCGCATAATCACACCCGTGAACAAAAGACTCGTTAACAACTCCAGTATCGTACCTTTTAATACTAAATTTAATTTGCACACAATCCAAAATACGCGATTGAAATTTTGCCACCACGTCTTTCATTCCAACATAAGCCATTTTAAAACGCCCACCAAGCCAACCAACCACTCCAGCAAAATAAAGTTTCAACGTCAAAAAGGTTGCTATACACATAACATCGTGCCAAAAAATATAGCAGAAAACTCAATCGCTCCTAAAACCAGCGCAGAACACATATCGCTACATTTTATTTTGCGACGCCATACATCTGAGGGCGTATATACGAGTAGTACCCACTTTGTAATTGATTTCTGCATCGGCGGGATTTATCTTGTTAACAATACTTAACTTTAGAAACATTACAAACAGTATGTACCTTTTTCGGGGATTCATTTGATGTATTCTTTCTTTGTAAAAGTAATTATTGACTTGTTAAGCACTTTCTGATTAATAATGTTGCTTATTTTGCTGTTAGAAATTTTAATATTATGCATTTCACAATGTTTTGAATTCTGAAACAGGAAATTTTTCTTCGAAAAGCTCAAATATGAAGGCAATAAATAATCTATCTCCAATTCACAGCTTGTTTACAGCCGACATTTTTGAAAGAAGACTAAATTTGAAAGTACCGAAAGATGTTTCTCATTTCAAATATGCTGTTGCAAGTAATTATTTCAAAGTATTTTTTATTCCAAAGTATTTTTTTAAAAATTCTTTACCAAAATTGTTCTAAAAATGTGAAAATGCCCTCTGTATTTCAGGCTGTAGACAAAGACAAACAAGTAATGATGAGTTAATTAGTAAATTTCTGATATAACAAGCTGCATTAGCAACCGTGAATTTTCGAAATTAGATTTGGAAAGTTACATGGTGGTCCAGCATATATATTTGCACACGTAACAATAAACTGCAAGGCAAAAATAGAAATATTTGTGCCGATACTACCGAATAGACGTTAGCTTAAATACAAGTGAATTTAACGAATACAAAAGAATTTAAATAAATATGGAATCATTAAAAATGTGATGCAGCCTAAAGTATGTACGGTATAATCTAAAGTCGGAGTCACGAAACTATAGGGCACTTTGACAAACGTTGATAGTAAAGTTAATAATTTGACGTCATTGTGATTTTGCTGGACATGAAATAGCCGATAAACTAGGTAAAAATGCTTTGCAACTACCCATGTCTGGCACAAACCATTTTACCCAGTTTCATATCATACTGTTAAAAACAAAAGTAAGAAGCTGGATAAAGAACAAACATGATGATATGTGGTCTAAACTACCAGACTGTGCTCATTCTAAATTGGTACTCGGTACACTTAACTTATCAGGTACACCTCAGTAGAACTAACTTACGCCAGGTAATCAAATTGTTACCGGACATGCTTATCTGGCCAAGCATCTCAACAAATATGGTCTTGTCGAATCTCCTCTCTGCCCGGCTTGTGCAGAAGAAGAGGAAACACCTATTCACTTCCTGGGACGATGTCCGGTGTTTTCTGTCCCTAGAAACAAATTTCTTGGGTTTCCCTACACCAGCTTCGATCAGGCCCTTCTCTACAAAGGACTGTGTGGCATAATAGGGTTCCTAATGTATACTAAACACTTTCCTACAGTTAAGGTGAATTTGAAAGTACAAGAAAGAAGCAATGAGACGCCCCGTGAGTCCTTTTTTTTTTTTTTTCTCGTGTGTGTGTGTGTGAAAGAAACTATGCGGGAAATTCCCTCTCACAGCTGTGTTTTGAAATATAAATGCAGGTATCAAATCTATATACGCCACCTGACCACTTTGCTTAAGGAAGTACCTCTGTCCTCCTTATTTAATTTATTTTTCAGAATCACCATCGCAGCCTTGTTTGGTCAAGAGTTGGCGTTTAGTGTTTTGGGAGGGATTGAATCGGCTCTTCATCCATTTCTGTTTTAACGATTTAACCGAACCCTGAATTTAGAGATGGGATCTTTTACTAATACTACATATTTGGTGGGAGTTTGGGGTCTTATCTACTTAATTAGTATTTACCTTACACGAGAATAACCATTTAAAATCTTTGTTTTAAATGTTCAAATGGCGGAAGAGTAATGGGCAACATTGCCTAATCTCTTTTCCTTCTTTTTATAAGAAGGAAGCGCCACCATTGTTATGTTATGTTAATAATTTGACGTGTCGAACAAGTCACCGAATTTCGATGCAAATCTGTTTTTATTTCCGCAATAAATTTACTTTCGTCCATTTGCATAAAATACGAGTTTTTTATCCTTTCAAAAATATGAATTTTTAAAGTTATGCTTTACAATTTTAAAGTGAACACCTGCAATAACGTTGAACACATTTTATATTAAAATGTTAACCCATTTTAAGTATAAAAACTAAACCTCTATATAAAATTTAATAGATATACTAACGTGGAACGTACTGCTTACAGTCACCCTTAACAATATCATTTGCAATCTTTTGTTCATACTATTAAACAATTACCTGCTCCTTTAGTTCTAGCAGATATAATTTCACTTGGTTCACCAGTTCCTAAGCTGTTAGTAGCAGTCATGTACAACCTATATCCGGTACCACACCGCAGTCCTTCGAGAGTATACTTATTCCCACTGGTACTTAACTTTTGTTCTTTCCAGCCGTCGCCACCACCTTCTGTCTTATAATGCAATATGTATTCTAAAGGGAAGAAATTTTATAATTTGTACATCATATATTAAGTATTAGAAAAATTACCACTGTTTATAATTAATAATGCCTGCGTTTCTATTGAAGCTATTTTTACTATTAAGAAAGAACTTAATTCTATTTATAAATACGAAAACAATAAAATATCTCTTAATTTAAAAAGTATTAATGGCTTTTTGATGGGAAATTATATTCACTTCTGTTTGCCCCGAAGTGAATATGTCACGTTACTGAAATCTTCTTATAAGAGTTTGTGACGTTTATAAATGTTTTCAAGGTGACGATCTACGTTTTACGGGTGAGCATCTTGTAGGCTTACCTTCTTTCCGTCGAAACCCTTCGATGCTGGCTACCTTTTGAAGAGTTTACGGCATTTCTATATATTATGGTTCTCGTGATAAGCTAATTAAGACTGCTGAAAAGGTCCCACATTCATTTCGAACGCAAGTTAATTGTGTAACCCTATCTGTTGGTATGAGCCCTTGCTTATCACGGGTTTTGGATATTTGAACGGTTGAAAACAACAGAATTTCCTTCCTTACTTTTAATACTCATTTTTTAACTCCTACCACTTTTCTAATATAATGTACGTTTTTAAATATATGTAGCCAAAGTATCTTAAATTTGCATGTCAGTGTTCCTCTAAGCTGTACGCAAGCCTTTCAAAAATTTGGCGCACATATAAACACGCCACTAATAAAAATATTAATAATACTTATATTTTTACATTACTTTTAAAATAAATCATATTAAATATGTTTGTCATACATTCTTCGGTGTTTAATACGCGCGCTTGTGTTGAGCCATACAGCTGTAGGAAATGGGGCTATTGTGCTTGCGCTATCTCGTAATGTGATAAGTTAGAAGAAAGACAGGACACTGCAGTGTGACATCACGAGCAATCGTCCCATATGATACTTGGAGACAGTAACGAAATAAAATACGCTGCGCACTAGTGCAACACTTCCTAACTTATCTTAGGAGGTGTTAGATAAGTGCGTTTTGTTAAACAGTTTGATAAGTGCATACTACAGCTATCGCAAGTGTAGCTAACAACATATGCGTTTATGCCCGGGTTCGGATCCAGGAGAAGGCATGGTTGTAACTGATCGACCCTTCATAGGAGGCAAAGATGGTTCACCTATTAAATGCCTCCATAATAAAGTGACCACCACTTCTGGCCTCAGTAGTGGCCAAGCCGAAATCGGCTGAGGGCCCACCATCAGAAAAAAAAAAAAAAAAACCTTGCAGGGCAATCCTTATGTTAGGTAAGGAGTAACAAACTCAAAGAAAATATACCATATATGGTTCAACACCATCGTGTCGAAATTCGTGAAAATTTGGGTACTTGCGATGTTTCAAAAGAAGAATCCATGAGAGATATAAAAACTTTGATGAGGATGATTATACATCGCATTTTCTCGATATGCAAGAAAGCGAGATAAATTTCAAGATATTGCTACTGTGTTAGGAAACGTAGCCGTTACCTTTAAGCTATTAAATGAAGTTAGGCGATTATATAGACTTTGTGCTCTGGGAACAATGATTTAAAAAAAACTGAAAAACTTTCAGATTTTATATTATGCCCAAAGGAGCGTATTTTTCATTTACATACACATATACATTTCGAGAGCATTTGAGCTATTGTTCCTTTGGGCTAAAATATTTTAAAACAGCCCATCTTTAAAATTTCCAATGCATGGTTTCGCGGGCAGGAAATAAAAATGTTTTTTCCGCTACATTGATGCTATAGCTCGCTTTGAAATCGTTGAGTCTGTTAATTAAAAACTCGTTAAAGTTTTGCAAAATTTTAAATACATAATGAAGTACTTTAAAACAGCGTATTTTTATGATTTCCGATAGACAGCCTGGCGCGCTGTAGGTAAAAATGTACTTTTCCGTGCAGTGTTGTCAGTGCTCGCTTTGAAATCGTTTTGAGTTTGTTAATCAAAAATTCCTTAAAGTTTTACAAAATATGAACTAGATAATAAAACAAATTCGGAATTTAAAATTTGGGCTTCCAGTTGCCCATCTCCGGGTGGATTATTACGCTATTCAAAATTTGATAGCTCTATGTATCGTCGTTTTTTGACAATGCCAGAAATATGCCTACATTCATGCGCATTTTCCTTTACTTAATTTCTGTTAAATTAATACACAGCGATAATATTTGGTGGCAACAATTTAGAAAGATAATTCGCCATTTGTAGTGAAACGCCATAAAAGCCCTTCTGAGTTACCGCCCTTTCGGGCTAAAAATTATTAAACATTAATTAGAAATTTAATGAAGATGAAGCATGTAGACTTATTTATAAATTTACATATTATGAATGATGTTTTTTAAGAACTTGCAGCATCATGTAAATTTGTTAGCTTTGTAACATTGTTTCAAGGAAGTAGAATCGTTGGCCATAAGGAACGAAGTAGTTGCTCATCTCTTAATGGGCGAAGTCGGAATAAAATGTTGCAGCCCCCCAACAGAAAGCCTGAGAAAGCTGGCATCCCAATCACATGTATTGCGTTTTTGATAATGGCGAAAGGTTGCGAAATTCCTTGCGTTTGAGCAGTCCGTGTGCAGTTAAATTTGATGAACAGATTTCTGAAGTATCGTTTTCAAACAATGTATGCTTTCCAGTAAGTTCCTTGTAAGGTTCCAGAAATTTCACTTAAAATAACAGCTATGCTGCAAACTAGACAAAAAAGCAAATTATTTTGACATAGACTTTGAACAAAACTTTCGAGAGCGATAAGACATAAGTCTCTCTTTCTTAACGGGCAAAATTTGTTCGCAAAAATGGCATAAGCGGCAATTAATATTAATTTTTAAACACAATTTAAAATTTTGCAGTGTAGTGTATTTTTCAAACTTGATGTAATAATTGTATGTTATTTCAAGTTTTAAAATAGCAATTAAATTTGCCATAATTCTTAATGGAATTAGAGGCAATATCAAATTTTAAAAACACTGCATGCAGATATATAAAGTACTTACAAAAATAAAAGTATGCAGAATTATACACACACACACACACACACCAACAAAAAAAAAAAAAAAAAAAAAAAAAAAAAAAAAAAAAAAAAAATTAAGATAACAAATTTCCTGTAACGATAGAACATATCTTTACTACTACTAACAAAAGATAAACAACTTGCGGATCAAAACTTCAAATTTCAGCTGTATTATATTATTTTTAGAGAAAACGTTTTGACGCAAATATTTTATAATTTTGTAATACATTATTACTATTTTGGAACATTTCATTGACAACTGCACATCTCATAGGACGCACAAGCCGAATCTGAAGAAGTACTTGCTAAAGTCCCTGTGATTTGCAAGGCACTGCTTAAAATTTCTCCGAAAATGTCCAATTTTGTTTTGTTTTGTTTCGTTTTGTTTAAAGTGGAGCTGTTCAATATGGTGGGTATTTTAAATATTAGGATTTTCACGATTTCAGCTATCTAGAGTATATATTTGCTTTCAATATGATGTCGAGATATTCATATCGGTCAATATTGTCAATTTAAACAAAATACTTTCACATAGCTAAACTTCTATTTCAGAAAAAAATGTCATCGTCATTTACGGAAAATAACAGCTCCTTTCTTTCTTCCCTATTTGTTTTCTTGAATATTTTTGTATTGTTTCATTTCTGCACCTAATAATATGTTCTTAACAAGGGCTTCGAATTAATTCAAATTTCTTAAAGGTGGCTATTAAAGAAATAGATAAATGATATCGACAACATTGGTATATTATCATGATAAAATGAAACACTGTTTTTTAGAATAAATGCAATTTAAAAGTTGTCTTTGAACTGCTTTAAATTAAACAGTAATTCATAAGTTGGAAAACAAAACCTTTTAAATATTAGGTACTAAATTACAGATTTCAGATTCGATTAAAGGATTCTGCCTGTATAAATATCTTCGGATTTCTATTTACGATGTATTTAAAAATACCGGCCATCCTTCTATGTAAAATTGTACGTCCACAATCCTTGGAGGATTCGCCCATACTCCTTGGAAGGTTAAGACCAAATCCATCAAATTATAACTGTAAAACAGAGTGGTGTTACTGAAATAATTCTATTTGATTAAAGTGCTAAGTGAACTCAAGCCATGTAACAAACGCTAATTTATTGCTTAAATTATACTCCATATTTACAATAAAAGAGTTTTATTTCAATATGTAAGTCCATTGATACACATTGTGTCAATGTAAGTTATTATCAGAATGGACAATTTTAATATAAAAAGTTCATCATTTTGTAATACAGTAAATATCTGTACAGGAATTTCAATTCGAATTTTTTAAGAAATGTTTTAAATTTTCTACCCAAATTCAGAATACTTTTTCATATCATTCCAAATAAAAAGATAAATAAAATTATCAGAAGTTTAAAATAATTCGACAGTTCAGTTACAAGTTTAAAATAACTTGTATCTGAATAAAATAATTTAATTTTTATAAAATATCAGAATATGATGAATTTTTTTGTATCATTCACCAATGTTTCGGGTATTTAACTTACCTCTTATTCCTATGTCGTCTAACTGTCTGTCCCAAACCACAGTCAGAGACGTTGATGTCACAGAATGGAGGGTTAAAAGCGGTGATGTAGGAGGTGCTGCGAAATGACATAATTCATATATAAAAAGAATCTTACATTAGTAATTGTTTAATATAATTTTCATCATTTTAGATTTAAAATTTGTTTTGAAAATTTATCTGGGATCAAACATACCAAATAAAATATAGCACAAGGTCTAATATCATTCTGTAAGAACCTTTAATCCAGGTTCTAAGTAAAAAAATTAGAGCATCCGAACCAAATCATTCGTTTCTGTGTTTGTTTGAATTTTATTTGCAATAACCAAAGTAATTGTAATAATATGAAAGGAAAATTTTACAGCTCTTATAATATACTAATAATATACTAATATTTTGGGAAAAATTATAAAGCTAAAGATCCTAAAATCCTCTAAAGGATTTTGCTACCAGCTGAGCGATTAACTAATGGAATTGATATAAATATCTTAGGTATGATAATGTACGAACATGCATAAACAGGATTATTAAAGGAAACATCAGATTATTCAGCAGTTTAAAGAAGAATAATATTCAGGGGCATAATGTAAAGGATTACATGTGCACATAGACAAACTGCAGCTCTTTGGCCTCTTTAATGCAACTTATATCATAAATAAAGAGTTTTATTTTTGAAACATCGTTTCACTTTGAAGTATAAATCATGTTAAGAAATAATGTATTGTTTCTATAGTAATTTTAAACACTTTTAAACGTGACAGATTCCTGTCATTTACAGTTATAGGGATACTAGTTTTAGAAAATTATTATTATAAGGCCAGAGCCCCGATCCTCCTAGCCGGAACAAGCCGGCTGTATGATCAAATAATGGGACTGGCCACGAAAAAAAGAAAAAAAAAAGAAAGAAAAACATAAAGTCCAAAATCTTAGTCTCAGTGCCGAATTCCAATTTTATCTTTGTTCGTATTTATAATCTTCATTATTGTCTCTGAAAATTCTTTTAAATTTGAACAGTTACTTTTAAAATCTTTCTTCAAATGTAAATTCTCTCTGGCACTCTGAGTAAGCGTACGTTCATCGACGAAGTGCCTGGCGTTCCCAAACTTATCATAAATTAAGCATTTATCCTTATTCTGTAGATGGAACCGATTAAAATAAACCGGGAAACGGCCATGATTAGTCAGTACCTGATTTGTATCAACATTACCTATAATGTTCATCTTTAATTTTTCATTAAATATTTTTTCTTATTAGATGACTCCCAGCAAAAATTCCATTCTGTATAAATCCAGTTTTCCATTTCAGCAATGGTCTTTTTTCTTGAATCTTGGATGTCAGAATTATCGGTCCCATCCCCAAATGCCGCCATTTTAGCAAGGATATCCACTCTTTCATTTCCGACAATTCCACTGTGTGCTTTCACTCAGTGTAACTTACCAATATGCTTACTTTTAGCCTTTTTAAACAAGTCTTATTTCATTAATCAGTCGATTTTTATGCTCTGGTTGGGCGAGTGCCTGAAGCGCAGATAAGGCGGCATTACTATAAATATTTATAAAACACCATACAAGGTATTTCTCCCGCCTTCGTCGTGCAGTGGTTCTGCACGCTGGGCCGGTATTCCAGAGGCCCGTGGTTCGATTCCCGGCGAAGGCGATTGCTAATATTTTAATCCTTCTTGCTCAAAAAAAAAAAAAAATAGTAATGTCTCTACAGTGGCACCCGAACTAAAAGGGTGTTGGATGAGGATTCTTTACACCCAGGATTCAGCGATTGAGTCTCCTAAAAACCCCAGTCGCCCTTTAAAAGGGGGATTATAAAAGGGATTTTTCCCTGCCTTCCTACGAGCCTTCATGGTGTAGTAGTCAGCTAACTGAGCCAGTATTTCAGATGTCTTTGGTTCGATTCTCGGCGAAGGCGTTGCTATTTTATCTCATCTTGCCTGCTCCGAAAAATTAACCTAATGTCTCTACAGTGGCGCCCGAACTAAAAAGGGTGCTGGATGAGGTTTCTCCACACCCAGGATTTGACGATTGGGTCCCCTGAAAGCCCCAGTCGCCCTTTAAACAGTGGAGTATATAAGGTATTTCTCCCGCTTTCCTAGGTGCCTTCGTGGTGTACTGGTTGTGCACGCTGGGCCGGTATTCCAGAGGTCCGTGGTTCGATTCCCGGCGAAGGCGGTTGCTAATTTTTCATCTCTCCGGCTTTTCCAATTAATCCTAATGTCTCTACAAACGAATTGTTAATTTTTTATTAATCCAAACCAAAGTCTCTGTCAATGCGTACAGTTCTGCTTAATAAACCGAATTCATTGGTTTAAGTTTTATTCTCACATTGTCTGCCTGCACTCCATGAAAATAAATTACCACAGTGCGACCCACTCCCCCCCATCATTTTGAGAACCCTCTGTAAAAAGGTCTATTTCGTCACCAGAAGGAAATTCAAAATCATAAAATAATCCAAATCGTGTCATTGGTTGAATAATATCCTCATTCTCTTGTTGAAAGGCCTTACTTGTGAGTACTTCTTCTCCAATTTCAGTATCTGTAATAATTTTATTAGCTAATAGAAACTTTTTGTAGTAAAATTTTGTATAAAATCGAGAGGGGCGGAACACCCGCAAGGACGCAGGCAACTTTATTCGAAACGATTCTGAAGGCTCTTGTAAGATCTTGCAGAACAGCAAAATCTTATAGAATGGTATTAAGAATATGTTACTTGCAACATGCTCTAGAACGTAGTTGTTGGTTCCGTTTGTATTTAATTGAATTAATTAAAGTATTTAACTTTAATTTCCCAGTGTTAATCCTGTAAGATTCGTTGAGAAAACTAACCTATTATTTTACTATCCAAAACCAAGGGCAAGTAGATAGTTTATTTTAAATAATTTTTGTGCATGAAACTGCAGTTTTTCGGCCCGGAGAACTTTGCCTTCACTTCCGTTTCCAAGAAAATCAAAATTTCTAGCTTGTTTTTAAAATTATCACATTATTCTTCACTAAAAGCTTTTTAGTTATTGCAATATATATTCTTCCATGTATTCTTCCTTTTCAATTAATCATTATTAAAATCAGTTGGAAATTATAATCAGAATTGGGTGATGAGAACTGACTTGGAGACAAGATAAAAATACTCGATATACTCTCTGAAAAAAAAATGAAATATCAGGACATTGTCTAAAAAATTATGACCATATGAGCATAATTTCCTAAATAAAGCGCAAGAGAAGAAAGAATTATTCCTATGTATTAATGTTAAATAACGCATTGATTAAACGTCATATAATTCTTTTATTGCTGGGAATATTCTTTTTTTAGTCGGAATTTGTTTTACTCCTTTTAAAATCAAATAAAATATCTAGTTGTAACTCATTAAATTTCTGAATTCTTACATGACAGTCTTATTGACATGAAGATTATCCGCCCCTACTTTACAGCATTTCAGATGCCAAGGCGGTAACTAATATGTCCAGGATTCGTAAAGATATTTAAAATTATATTTCCAAAGGCATATATTTGGAATAGAAGAGACAGTCACAAGTGACGGAGGATGGGTGAAGCATGTATAAAGCATAAACATCAATCATAAATCACATACAAAGCACCGTAAATAAAATACATAACAATGTTAAGCAACTGCATACGGAAGACCGAAGTTTGCTCATAGTTCAATACAGTTTCTATATTAAACAAGTTATTCATTCAGAGTTTATGAGTTATGCTTGCACTGAGTCATATACACCAAATAACGGAAACAAAAATAAAAAAAAAAAAAAAAAAAAAAAATAACAGAGACAGAAAAATGTTGCTCTCTTGAATGTTTCCTGAAATGCCTTCAGTAAAGTTAGGGAAAAGGAAATGGGAATTTATTTTAAGTGGAAGTGGCACTTCATGGCCACTTCCACCTAAAATAAGTTCCTGTTCCTCGAATACATTTTACTCTTTAATACAGAAAAAAAAGTTTCATTCAGTATAAATACGGAGGAAATTAACGTCGAAAACTTTTGGCAGAACTGCAAACATTTTAAAAGTTTAGATGCGAGGTTTCTGAAATAGATAGTTAAGAATAATATATTCAAAATTTATTACCAGCTTCTAGTGTTGTGGCAGAAACTTCATCTGATCTAGGACCAGCTCCTATGTTGTTATAAGCTTGTACGATTACTTTATATTTAGTAAGCCTGCGGAGATTTGTCAAATAGCTAAGTTCTTGTCCATCTGTGGCTTCTACATTCTTATACTGAAACTGATCATCAGTCTCAGCAACTTTGTAACCGATGTAATAGCCATGGATTGTGCCATGCTGCAAATCTTTGCGAGGAGCCTGTTTTGAGCGTATAAACCGTAATTAATATAACCTGTATATTTAATTAAAATACAAAGTATATTACTAAATTTTATCATCGGTTTAATTCACCAGGCAAAATTTGTTTAAAATTATTAAACAACAGGTAAGATTAGTTGAACCTTAAATTAGAAATAAAGATGTGAAGAGATTCATTTACTTTGAGTTTAGCTTTCCACTAAAACAATACATGAATGGTCTGATTTCTTAGTTTGCATTATGAATTAATACCTACTCTAAAACAGTTCTAAAACTTTAAACAAACGAGTAGTGCCTTCTGATTTCTTTCCCTACTTAATTTTAAATCATTTAAGAAGAAGAATAAGCTTTCATTAAAAGCTAAAATTAATAAATCATATTTACACTAAAATATCTAGCAAAAGGTGACGAAATCCATTCCTTAATGACAAGGTATAATTTACTTAACTAATAACTAACAACTAGATAATATTAAAGACGTCTGCAAAGACATTCGAATGAAAATTTCAAAGCACCTTAATCAATTAGAGGAAAATTCGCCATACATTTGCGAAAGATTCCGAGATAAGTCATAGGCAGTCAGTGAAGAATAAGTCTGAACGGATTTATTTCCTGCCCTCAACACGATTTAAATATTCTAATAAAATCACATACTGCCCGATAAATCATAAAATGACATATTTATTTTCAGACAATATTTGCAAATAGTAAAATAAATTTCTTCTTCTCACAACAAAAATTAAATTGTATCATATTTTACGTATTTAAAAGTTTTCAAAGTTTTCTTCTCCTTTTCAGAGATGCATATAGAAGTATGTTAGAAATCTTAAAATGTCCTGTTACTAATATAAACTTTGTCTTCATGACAAATAGCAGCATGTCATCTTCGGTCTAAATGCTAAGTATTCATTTATATCCTGCCCTTAAAGTTAAACATTTTGAACTCCCACTCTACCAACTTTCTAGGGTAAAAAATGTTTAACATTGTTAGGACGAAATTACCTGACTTACGCTATACTATACTTAACGCTATAGTGAAAAAAGTTAATGATATCTCAGAATTTAGTTTTAGGTTACGACACAGAAAACGTTATATAATTAGGAAAGATCATAAGATAATAGTTTTCGTAAAATAATAAGAGTAATAACATTCTCATATTATAATGACAAATTCAGCTGAGTTTGAAAAACGAAAAAGCAGGTCAACAATTATATACAGAGTAGAGTATAAGTATTGCTGTAGAAATATTGTGTGCAAGATAACGATTGGAAAACAGATTTAAAGAGTTTAGTTGCCACAGTAAATATGGGATAATATCAGAGTGCGATATACATACATTACTACCAAACAGGAGGAAGATCAGGGTAAAATAAACACTTTTAATTTAATTAAGCATTATTAATATTAATACTGTTTGAATATCTTAAGGCATGAGGTCAGAGTGGATGTCATGTCGCATGCGTTGAAAATGTCACCATTTTCAACCCCAACTACACTAAAACGAAACGAAACTAGAAAGACTGTAAAAAATTTTCTTTTCTCTTGTTTCTCCAGTTCACTGGAGGTTGTAATTAATTACTTGGAGATCTTCCTGAAATATAAAAGAAAAATGAATTGAAGAGAAACCAATTAATTGTTCTGAACTGTAACAGAAATTCGAAAATCAGGGATTCAGCACTCAAAGGATTAAATTTACATGCAAACTCAACAACAGTTTCCTTTAAACCATCTGATTGCTTGAAAGAAAACTAGACATGTTGAATTTGTGTTTTTTCCTGTATTAAGAGAAAGAGTTTTAGCATACTTAATCTGTCTAAAACAACTCAACGATTTAGTTCTTAATTAGTACACAATCCTTTACACACACAGCATATTACCTTCCATGTAACTTTTAAGGATTGAGATCCTGTGGGATGAACTTCAACATCAAGCGGAGGGCCACCAGGTACTGCAAAGAGAAGAGAGAAAGGATTAATTCAATAAATTATTCATGAATTTGTTATTATATCTATTTTATTCCAATACAGCCTGTGTGAAAGATTAAAATGAGATAATAACCATTATTCCTTATTATAATAACCATTATTAACTAAGTAGTGATGGTGAGATAATGAATTATGAGAGTCTGACTAAAAAAAGCGCCAGAGAACTTATAGAACTTATACACTTGAGTTGCCTTAATTACTCTGTGCCATTGGAGAAAACTGCAGACAGCCCGTTCAGGCCATGAGATCCAAAGAAGGAACCGAGCAGTCAAAGCTTCATTGACTTTAGATTATTTTACCAGTACTGCTTTCAGCCATTCAATAAGAATAATGAACATTGATATGAATTAGATATAAATTATGCTTGAACTATCTAGAGATTAAAATAATACTAAAATGGAGCTTAATATTTAGCGTTTTTCAAATTTTTTCCTCTTTTTTTCATTCTCTTTTAAAATTTCGTTTTCCTCGGATATCTTCCTTTTGTTAATTTTACCTGCTTGTTTCGTATCAAATTTATTTACATCATTGATATTAGCTTAAAAGAGATATTACGGGATGTCCTGAGAATGTAATAATTAGCGCTTGAAATCCTCATAGCGTACCGTAAGCTATGGAGGGGGGATTTGGGGAGCATGTTCTCGCGATATATTGGGACGTGACATTTAGTATTCGTGTCCTGGGATATATGCTGAGCCTGTTAGCAACATTTTCAGAATATCTAGAGGAGGCTTCCGTGCTGTTATCAATAATTAATAAGAAAATAATATGTTAGCAAAGAAATTGATTCAAAAAGGGTATATATATATATATATATATATATATATATATAAGCAAGAAATTTACCTTCTTCTTCGGTTACTACGGTAATAAATTCACTTGGCTCACTAACTCCCATGACATTTTCGGCCAGAACTCTGAATTTGTAGGACGTGGCGGGCAGTAAGCCTCGAATTACAGCACTGGTCTCAGACCCTGGTACTACGGTTTCTTTCAGTCGCCCTTCCGAGTTGGCTGGAAAAATTGTTTTTTTCTATTGAAATAATGTATCAATGAATTTCAGATTATGCATATTATGAATCATATTCAATGTAAGTTCTTGGCTTTAAGGAAATTGAAATAATGGCTTGTTCTAGAAGATACAAAAATTAAGATCGCCACAGGAGTTTCTCATTTAAGTTGCATTTCTTGATTTGGTACTTACGTGTTTTCCCGTCGACCATAAATGATAGCAGGGATCCCTCCATATACTATATAACCGTTCCAATAGACATTTGAAGGAACAGATTGGTTTTACGTAATTAGATAATCAACAAAGACAAAAGTTGTCCTCCTGTCGGTATGCTGGTAGGAGAGCTGGCTGCTATAAACTTGCGCCTGAGTTCGGATTTCGCAGAAAGCATGAGTGATTTCGCCGACGGCAGGCACCTCTGCCGTTCATTTGCAATGTTACTTCTATAGGCACGGATGTTCCAGGCCAGCGTTTGCGATATGGCTATCCCTGCTGACTAGGACCACGGTCAACAATAGAAACGGCTAAGTAAGCTCTGGCATGACGTTATAACCTCTGTCTGAACACAACCCTTCCATCCGATGATCGAACAGTGTCATTGCACAGCAGAATAAAATGTGCTCTCCTAGATCAGATTTCAACTGCTTGATAGATCCTTATATGTCATTTTTTTCTGTGATCATACTATTTATGTCAAATTCTAAAAAGTTTCAAAAACACCAATTTAAATCCCAAAAAGTAATTGAAAAAATAGTGTCAATGCACGTATATTGACTTTCATAGATATTTTATTACATAACATGATTAACACTTCTTCTTTTATACTTTCATCACCCGTAAATTTATATTTTCGAAACATTAAATATTTAAAATATTAAAATTACATTTAACTACACATTCTTGAAAGAGAACATGCACAGAAATATTCCTTTCATAAAGAAGATTACACAAATTAACAAAACACAAATGAAAAACTTAAATTTTAAATTAAAAAAATAACAATTATCTTGCAGGGAAATTTTACATAGTATTCTAAAAGTTAAAAAATAAAGAAATACAACGATTGAAAAATACAGATAAATTACAGAAGAGGGAAAAAGAAAAATATATATATATATCTTGATGTTTTAGAAACATGGGTTTTTATCATAAAAGCATTTTTACTAGATTTTCAGTTACAACAGACAATTGCTACATTAGTCATATATCTTAATAATTAATAGATAAGCAAGCATTTCGCTTTTTAGTTTCATTTTCGAATAAATTCACTTAAAACATTTGAAAATGAGACACATAAATTAAAAAGATTCTCATACTTTTGACATACCTTTATTTTTAATGCTGGAAACAGCATAAAACATCTAAATTATGTATCATAAATAGTTATATGATTACACTCAAGTAAACTAAACATTTTATACTAAGTCCATAATTTTAAAGTGTTCTTATAATTTAAATGTGTAACCCTAACTTTGGTTTTAAGGTTTTAAATAGTTCTGAAACAAAAGCTTCAAACATCTAACATTTTTTACAAACATAAAACACTTTAAATTACCTTTATATGCATTCACAATAAATAATAACTAGGTTAGACACATATCTTGATGAATATAATTAAGCGTGGATTAATTTTATGAAACAGAATGAAGGAAGAGATTTACATAACTATTAATAATAAATGCAACATTCAAAAAATGTTAATGCTATTAACGAATATCCAATACACTTTCTTCAGAACTGGAAAAACCTTAGAACAACCAAATTATATTAGAATCAAACTTGACATTAAATTTACATAAATCATACAACTGAACATAGCCCATAAATTTCAAAAGAACCTTATTGATTTAAGCGAAAAACCGCAGCATTCTTTTAAACTCTATAAAAGCTCAAATATCTAAATTTTACCAGAATCATAAAATGCTTTTATAATAATTGAATTTAGATTCGAAATTCCTCATTACCTATATTAAAAATATACCATCATAATCAAGAATAAGGAAGACATTAGTTTTCATATTCCATTTTCAGAAACATTGCATGCATGAATAGAATCATATAAACCAAATCATAACAATAAATATATTATTTGAAAAAGTCTTCATGCCATTAACTAATTTCCGAAACCTTTTTTCAACACCCAAAAAGCCACGAAACACTCATATAATAAAATAAAATTTGTGATTAAATTTACATAAATCATGACTCATCCAATTTGAGAGAACCTTAGTGATTTAAATAAATAACCGCAACATTGCATTAAATGCTGTAAAAGACTTAAATATCCAGATTTACAGAATCATAAAATATTTTTTTACAATAATTATATTTACATTTAAAAATATTCTTAAATGTATTATAAATATACCTTTATGAATATAAAAGACCAAGCAATAAATGTTTTGGCTTCTCTCTCAAAAACCTCATATAGATCAATAAATTCTCATTATTAAATATTGTAATCTATAAATAGACACTTTGGTGGATTTTAATGCCATAAAGTTATAACAAAAGCACTCTTCTCAAAGTGGAAAAAGTTTTCAACATCACGATTTTATAATAATTAAGTTCACATTAACCAAACATTTTAAAGCTTGAAAAGTGTCTCATGACTTACATAAGTGATAGTAGTAATTATTTTTGTTCCTGAAAAGGCGTCAAATACGAGATTTTATTTTAAAATATTTTATATTCCAATTATTATGTTTTATAAGTAACATAAATATAAAATAATTTTTAAACATGTCTTACGCAATAAAAATATTTAAATTACTTCATCAAGACTAATTTATGAATCAGACTACATCATTTTACGTTCCTCTTTATATAAACAGAGCACAAAGAAAAATTTTCAAATTTTTCTTATTTACAATATAGTAAATTCTGTTGAACTGGAGCCATTTTAACCTTACAAAAATCTGAATGCATACTTCCGTTATGAAACCTTTTAAAAAATTGCGATTTTAAACATACCATCCAAACATTAAAAGAAAAATTGCTTCTTCCTGATTCTTCAATTATTTTCAGTTTTCTTTCTTCATTTCTTTCAAGTGACTTAAGTGAAGAATTATTTTTCCGTAATGTTCAAACGTATATTAAGGAAAATCTTTACATTGTTAATGATTATTATACTTTGCATGGAAAATTTCATTGACATCTTTCATCAATACACGCTTCTTCATTCATTTTGAAGTGAGTCTCGGTTATTTCTGTAAAATGCTGATGATGCTTTCCACTCATGCGGATAAAACGTTTCTCATACTTTTAAAATATAATGGTCTGGAAAAGTAAATATGCAATTCATATCAACAACATATTTCTGTTGGGTATTTTAAATCTCCTCGATATCAATATACACATAATTTATTTCAGCTAATGTTCTATAGCAGAACCTTTTGCATCAGTGCTGAACCGAATCATGATAATTGCCTGCAGACATCTGATGTTATTGCCAAAATCTGTACTCTAGTTTATGTCTGAAATTTGGAGCTACAATTATTTTTGAAGTATTTACTAAAAGTTTTTGAATTACATAAATGGCAGAATATGTCGTCTGAGAAAGAGGAAAAAAAACCTTTGCTTAAACACTACCAAAAGACTGTTGCAACAATCAAATTTTTCCATTGTTCGATCGAACAATAGAATTTTTCAAGATTCTGAATCTTTTATCATCGGTGCAGTAAATGCTCTGCTGTCTTCGCATGTATATGAAGGCTTTTGTTGAGACAGTTCACATTCATAATGTTCCGCCATTTTCTGATAATTCGATATACTCTGCCAATTAATTAATATGATGTTTCATTCCAATAATTGAAGAGCAGGATCATTAGCTAGTGAAATATATTTCCAGCAAAATTCTTATTTTAATTTTCTAAACTCGATATGAACTTTGCCAAATACCTAGAGCAAACTGTAAATTCCATGAAATGTTAGAGCCCTCAAACATTCTATGAGCTAGATGATTTTGAGTTAATGCGTTAATTGGTTTAATTTATTCACAGATAGAGAGCGTTAAGCAATTAAAAAACTTAAACACAGGTAAACTGTAAGTATTTTAACTGTTTAACCTAAATAGTAAAAAGTACTTAAAAATATTAGGACATTTTAACAAAAAAAATGCAAGATTTTCTTTAGTAGTTGTGTAATTGTTATAGAATAAGTAAAATATTGCATAATTTCAATTTTGCAATAAACATCATAAACAGATTTCAAATTTGATATTACATTTCATAACTCACTCATATTATATGAAATAACAACTTGAAAAGTGTCATTCTATTAATTTCTAATTTATTCAATTTATATTATACATAAATATAATGAAATTGATTTGAATAATAACTCAAATATTTTAAAAATTATTTATTGCTGTTTTAGGATTTAATTTGATAAAGTTTATATAGTTTTAAATTGTTTATTTATGTTGAATAACCTAGACAAATATATAGCCATTCTTTGATCATTACGTTTAAATATTTAAAAAATTATTTATTAGATTAAAAATTATTTAATTTTATTCGAATAGTTATAACCTTACAGGTCCCGTAATGAATCACTTTGCATGAATACTTTATATTGCAATTTTACTATTTACAAAATATAATTTTTATCTAGCATTTTATTTTATATGATGTATTGTCAAAAATCCTTAACATTGTGAATAAATAACATTATAACATTAAAATGTGACTTTCATATAATTTAATATGAAATTAAAGGCAAAAACGAAATTTCAGCATTAAAAAACAAAAACAAAACAAAACAACAACAACAAAAAAAAAAAAAAAAAAAAAAAAATAAGAATTCTAATTGAAACAGTTTTTGTACTTACTTTTGCTGGAATTATCGAACTGTACAGTGTACTTTGTTACAGGACTATTGCCACTAAACGTAGAAGACCAATTCAGTACTACGGATCGACTACTTTTTTCTTTGCCAATCAGATCAACTGGTGGTGACGGTGGCTCTATTGTCGGAAAGAAACAATATTCAGTCAGATAATTATATTTCATGCATTAATTTGTAGGACTCTAAACAGGAAAATATTTTGCGTGTAGCAATTAGATTTTCTTTTGTTCAACAGATGGCACCACATGCAACTTAAAATTTGTGGTTATCTTGCGAAAATATATTCAATTTACACGTTACATCATATGTTAATAGTAAATAGCAAATTAAATTTTCAGCTATAATCTCAATGTTAAGACTATAAAAACTATGTTATTAATTTATTTCTATTCGATAAAATTAAAACTAGCTTTAGACTTGAGTTTATCATTTTTGGTTTTTATTTTATTCCAGTAGGAAAAAAGAATATTTCAAGTGTATTTAATAACAAATATCTTCTTTAAAAAAATCTTCTTTAAAAATGTGATTTGTGTATAATTGAAGAGTATATTCAAAGTGTATTTCGATTAAACAATAATAATAGGAAAAGATAATATTTTTCTAATTAGGGGCTAAACATTAATTCTCCAATATGTGTAATTTAGAAAAGTGTATCCCTCAGTTCGCTGTTCCTTTCCTATGCTTCTCAATATTACATCGTATATATTATGAAATGAGTGAAAGTTTTACATAGATAAAATCGCTAAGTTCGATATATTTACTTGTACAAGCAAAAATCAGTTTGTATAATGAATAACCATGGGAGAAGCAAATAAACATATCATTCCTTACACATTATGCTTTTATTATAAGGAAATCAAAATATAGCAGATAAGATTTATAAATAAAAATCTGTACCTTGTACCACCAACTGAATGTTCGTTTCATCGGTTCCAAACTGGTTGGATGCCAAACACGTGTACAGAGCCGAGTCAGACCGGCTGGTATCCTTGATGATGAGCTTTGAAATTGCAGACTGTGCCCCAGATTCTTCTACTGAAGATACTCTAGAATACATTATCACCAGATGTGAGGAATATACAGTGGTGAAATAAATTAAGAGAATTTTCATATTTGATCTACGATCTCCAGAAATACTGGATAGATTTTAGTAAAATTTGGTGTGAACATAGGTTGATATAATACAAACAAAATAAACATTCAACAGTTGTAATAGGCACGCATGTTCGTGTTTAACACTCCATGGAAGTCTGAAGGTCTGAAAGAGCGATTGCAGAAGACACAAAAAGCAAAATGGATTGATAGGGGGTATGGGCCCCTTTTACAGCCATACAGATCTCTCAGCGTGTTGTCCTACTAGAAATAAGGCAGTTTATCAGTGCTTGTGGCAATTGGTCCCACTCATTCCGCAACGCTGCTTTCAGTTCCTGGATGATTCTCGGAGGGGGGTTGCGAGTTGCATTTGCCCTTCCTAGAGCGTCCTTGGCATGCTGTATAGGGTTGAGGTCTTTAGACCTGGCTGCCCAATTCATCCGGCGAATATTCTCACTCTCGAGAAAATCATCAACCAGAAGAGCTCTATGTGGTCTCCCGTTATCGTCCCGTAAGATAAACTCTGGGCCCACTGCACTCCGGAAAAGGCGAACATAGGGCTCTAAGACCTCATCCCTATACCTCACACCAGTCACAGAGCCTCTGTCAAAAACGTGGACAGGTGTGCGGCCATCCAACATGATTGCTTGCCCAGACCATTACACCGCCACCGACGTAATTTTTGATTTAGCGGACATTGGAGGGTAGGTAGCGGTTCCCTGGCTCTCTCCATTTGAAAGTACGGCGGGAATCGGTGTTTAGGCTAAACCGGGACTCATTGAGGAACAAAACGGTCGCCCATTGCTCCGTAGTTCAATCACTCTGCTGCCTGCACCATGCTAACCGGACTCTCCTGTCCGTAGACGTGAGCGGGACGCAAACAGTGATCTTCTGGCAAACAACCCTGTCTCATTCAGTTTTTTGGACACAGTCACCCTTGTTACACGGGTTCCTGTGGCTGCTTACAGGTCCCGAGAGAGCTGAGAAGCTATAACCCCTCTGTTACGCCTCGCTAAAATGGACAAATAGCGATCTTCTGTGGTCGTCGTGGCTCCTGGACGACCTTGCCCAGGATTTCTCTCGATAGATCAGCATCTTGAAACTGTTTCCATAGCTTACACAGGACGCTGGGCGTTAAATTAAATTTCTCTGCATATCTGGACTGCGATTGGCCTGTTTCTAGCCTCCCCACAATTCACCACCTCATTCCATCATCTAAACGTTGATGGTTACTCATTTTTACTGTTCCGATGTGAATTTAAACGGTTGTTGCAAGATAACATCAAGAAATTCACTGACGTGTGCTAGCGAACGCAATTCGTCTTACCCTCCACGCGCTTATAATGCCTGTTTTTCTACTGGCTCCGCCTACACACACGTGTGCGTTCATGTATTTGCCGTACAAGATTTGTATTTGTATTGAGAAGCAGGGGATTTTCTTTCAGTTCAGTTCTTTTCATGCAATTCTATAAAATATGCAAATTATCTTAATTTATTTCACCAGTGTATTTCTGTAGGTATTACTTAACTCTATATCCAAATAATTTTAGTCATTTCCTATGAACATCAAAAAATAATATGTGCAAAATTGTTATTCTCCAATAGATGATAAACGCAGTAGAAGAACCTAAAAAGCATTCAGTTTAATATTGGCAGAATATGCAGCTCTTTTTTTTTTTTTTTTTCCGAGCACCTTTCACTATACAGAAAAACAATGCGCATCCCTCAAAGCTGAGAAAACTGAGAAAGAAAACTATTATCACCTAATGGGCATTGCCATACTAATACATTGCTCTCATCCTTATTTCTTACTTAGGTTAAAAGTGAATTAGTAAGCACTTTCAGCAGGTTTGAAAAGTCTAGTCAACTGAGACATGATTCATACATTTGGTGATGTATATAAATATAAGGTTTAAAAATACATAAATCAAAACTCTAATACTAAATTGCAGTAGTCTCTTACTTCTTCATTTTAAATTTGGTTACTGTCCTTTCTTTATCTTAAAAATAGTAACTGCTTATAATAAATCTTTCTTTAAACTACGTCATTTCAAAATTAATCCGTATCATATGATTCTTGCATAACGCTCATGACCCAGATATTTAAATAAAGCTTCAGCCAACGATAATATAGTAGACTTCGTTTTGAAATTTAATACTAATCAATAAAAATAAGTCTAAAGCAAAACTAACTCATCCCGAATTGGCATTTAATCTTAAACACTTTGAGTTCCTTCTTTCGCTTAGCTATTACAAACATGTTAAACCCTGTTGCTGCTCCTTTCTTCAACTACATTTCCAAAAGGTGCCAAAGTAGATCTTCAAGAACAGGCGCACTTTTAGCTTCAAGTTATTACTGCATATGTCAGTAATAAAAGAAATATTTAACCAGCCTCAAACCTTATATATGTGTATATATATATATATATATATATATATATATATATATATAGCTCAGTTTATATGATGGTTTTAAATTTGGCTTACACAAGTGTATTATATTTTTGGTGAATATTTGTAGGAAATTCTTACTTCATCCACCGGATAGGCTTACATTCGATTTGGTTTATTTGATTATGGGAAAACACATTACGGCTATCTGCTAAGAGGAGGAATGAATTCATGGAGGATATGGGGTGAACCACGAAACCACCAATGCAGCCAACAAGTCGCGGGACTCAAACCTCTGGCTTTCATTCGGAAATGCGGGATAACTTCTCAGTGCATAAAATCATACATAAAATGAATGTGTTTTACGAAAACTGTTTCACTTTCTAAATGTATTTGTAAATGATATATTAATGCATAGCGACAAAATAAACACAGTAGATTTCGACACGACTGCTGTAACTGTCATTTTTGCGATGTAAAAAATGCATTTTTGCAAAGTGCTTTCCTGCATTTACAGATTGTATTACAGATGAATGAACTGTAGTCTCTAAAACCAAGACTAAATAAATTAAAGTAATCATAACCCAGCATTCCATTAACTTTCATTAATAAAAATATAACTCAGAAAAATATAATATTTTTTCTATCGTTTTTTTTCCTCATTCTCATGATCCTTCATGCTATAAATAAAAATTAACTTTGATTTCCTAGACAATGGATATCATCTTTTAGCGTTAGCATATTTTCATTTCTATTTTGATTAAGGACTAGAACTTTTATGCAGAGTAGAATAAAATTTTTAGAGACTTTAACTTCAAATAATACACAATGGAATAAAATAACTTGTTATTTGAGGAGATTATGTGTATATTTAAATGTTTTTGTGTAATTTAAAACATGAAAAAATACAAATTACTTTGAAATATCCTATATAAGCTATTGTAAGATTTATACCATTTTAAAGATGTTTTGAGCACTCTAGATCTTCTACATTCGATAGCTTATCAAAATAATAGTATTTCAGCATAATGGCAGATCAATAGATAACATGCCAGAAGTAGAAAGATTGGACTGAATTGTACTTCTCTGAAACACATGTCAGTTAAAACATTTAGAGAAGATCTTACCGCTTCATCGTTTGTGGATCTAACGGCTGCTTGTCTTTTTCCCACTTGATTCGGATAGGAAGTTCGCCAACAGCTTCACATTTCAGCTCAGCTGCTTTGTTTTTTGGAACCGTATGGCTTATGAACTTGGCTTCGAATTTTGGAGGTGCTGCAAAAAGAAAATTTTCCTTCTTATGAAATCAATTAAAATATCAGCATTGTTTATCAAATAAAGTAATATACTTCTCTGCCTCTCTCTTTCTTTCTATTTTTTGTGTTTGTGTATATATATATATACATATACTCACCGAACCTCCACACAGCCATACCTTGCATAATCCAGATTCACTACAGTCGGTTTGAAAAATTCCAAACAAACTAAATATTGAGCAAAATAAAAAATAAATTCTAAAAAAAAATAATATACAAAAGTACTTCTGCAATGACTGCTTTCCTTTATATGGTCAAGCCTTTTTTTCTGTCATTTTAAAGTAATGTTGTACAATTTAAATTTTTCTGTTGTCCGCCGTAATATATATATATATTAACGTGTAGCATAATTTTTCACCCTTCAACGACATTGCTTTTAAAAAATGTGTTAAACTTTTCTAGGAGCCACAGCTCCTGGTAACTTTTTGGCAAGCTTTCTACAATTTCTCATATCTTTAATTTTGCAGCATATTGCGCAAACAAATTATTTAGACCAAATTGGTCTTACGGTATTGTACTAACTACCTTGCTTGTTAATTATATATATATTCAAATCTGATAATTGAAGTAAATAAAGAAACTGAAGTAAATGACAAGCACAATAAGCTGCGATAGAGAAATAAACTTTAATGCATATAAAAAGTTGTCAGTAAAGCAGCTCAAACTCCAAGATATGTTTCTATAGAAATATATATACAGTATATGTGTGTGAGTATGTAAGTACAACAGTAAAATGGCCACCGGAATATGAAATGAGGGAACGCGAATTAAAAACTGTAAATGTAATACTGGAAAACAGAAAGAAAAACAATTCATTAATAACAGAAATAGGCTATCGTGTGCTGTCTCAGCTCGGGGAAGGATAAACGCGTTACACGGATCAGAGAATCAATCATTACCAATCACGTTTATGAGCATAAAAACTTACCGTTATAAAATTTATTTAAAAACTTGATACATGAACAATGCCAATATAATGTTAATTCATTAACGAGACGATCAGTTCTGAGAATTCACCTGCATCCTATCAAGAGAACACTTAGCGGGGGTTGGAGAAGCGTTACATAATTTTGCAAAATTCATTGAAAATGTCTAAAAAATTTAATGTTAGAAGAATAATTTATTTGGAAGAACTTTATGCCATGATACGTTTTAAAAAATGATGAAATGTAATAAAACTACGATTCAATTAATTTATTAATAAATTTCACTTCTAAATACGTTTGAAAAATTACTTTATGCAACTTTTACATTCCTTGGCGAGTTAAATAAAGACAAAAAATCATTTAGTGACTTAATACAATTTAATCACTAAATCCCGGTTTATCGGACATTTACTGCGTGTACCTTAATAATATTCCCTGTTCAGTTAAGGTATTTAACGTAAGAGTGAGTTAAGTTAGTTGGTTTCTTTTAGCTTTGCATAAACATTGTTAGAGTCATTGGTGGTTATTTGTTATTTTGTTTGTTATTGTTTTTTTTTTTCAATATATACCGTTTTTTCATTCTGAAATGTTTCCTGCTAGTAATTCTTCGCTAGTAGTTTTCTCGTTTCCACTATATTTATTTGTGATAGTATATACCAAATTAATACAAAGTTATCTATTTGATGACTAAATTTCTAACAAGTTGACTTAAAATTTTAGATTTCTGCAAGTTGATAGACATTAAAAATTAGAAGATTTCATAAAATAAATACTCAAATAAGATACTGTTATGAAGCGGGCTGCGGATGTACATTTGAAAAGAAAATGTGTAAACATATTTCAATATGAAATGTTTCAGCTTTGTTTTAGTTTGATTAATAATTTTCGGCCATACAAGATAGGATTTATCAAATGCTGTCTCACAGACACTTCTGCGACTATGAAACTGTTACTCTGTGTACCCGCTGTTTAACTCTGTATTCTTGACATCATGAATGAAGAAAATTACATATGTCATCGGTTCCAAGTTAGGATTTAAAGTACTGATATTAAATGAGACCAACACTTCTTGTATGCATTACAATATCTTTGTTTGATGGAGGAACGCCATCTGCACTCTTGAAAACAACTGCAACTTCATTTTCTTTTGGAACATTGTAACGCCCTCTCTGCTCATCCGTAACAAAACTTTTGCCCTTGAAGTACATATAGATAGAAGCAGCAGTTTCATTACCTTCAAATTTCAGTTTCAGCAGTTTCAACACCAAGAGTTCCTTCAAATGTTTTTCAGCAACTTGTAGGTCTCTGCATATGCATTCACATAACTTAAAACTACATCCGGTTGTGTCAACAGTTCAATGTTCAGAATACCATTTCCAAGTATATTCATTCTCTATCTGAGGGCTTGAACCAAATCTAAAATATATAGCTGGGTATACTGTTTCTGATCAGGGTGAGGTGGATGAAGGTAGTTTGCTCGATGGTATATGGCACCATGAATTCTAAAACAATAGGGACCTAAACCTGTAGGCATATCTATATTGACAGCCAAGGAAGCAAAACTAAGAAGACAGTTATAAGCACATATGTTAGCAAAAAATCTTGAGAAAATTGGTGGTTTACATTCATTAAATTACCCCATTCTTTTGAATACCTTCTTTCGGGTTCTAAGATTTTCCCATTGTGCCAGAAGAGTACGTATCTACCCTGTTCTTTCTGTTGGAAAGAAGAGTCCATTGAAGAGATAGTAGCAAGCTTCCTTTGAACCGGCACTGTGTGGCTCAACATAAGCTTCGAGTCCACATCTTCCTGCAATTTGAAGTGTGCTACGTGAATGTTGTGCGGTACTAATGCGAAGCCTGTCTTTTCGTATAGCCATTGTTTCTTTGGATCAGACTTGTCTGTTATGTGAAGCATTCGTACTTGTGGCACCCTGCTCTAACTCTTCCACTCGAATTTGATGATGATGCTGAGTCCTTTGTCTACTACAAAAATTGTTCTATCTCTTCATTACGCATATTCTGTTGACGTTCCACCTGAGCCTCCTACACGTTTCTGCTTTAGCTTCCTCCCCACGTAAATTTTCTTGGTTATCTTTTTGGTTGCTGAGCCTCCTACTCGTGTCTGCTTCAGTTTCTTGAGCACGCAACATTTCTTGAATTTCTGCTTGTCTGCTCATCCTCCTATTGGTTTCTTCTGAACTTGCTTCAGCACGTAAGTTTTTTTCTTGATGTGCTTGCTTGCTGAGTCTCCTAGCAGTTACTACATCAGTTTCTTAAATACCTCAGTCTCCTAGTGGTTTCTTATTTATTTTAGGTAGCTCGCCGTAACCTTTGTGCTTGAGCTCTTTGCCTTCTTAATGCATATCCCGTGATACCTGTTTTGCGTCTTGGCAATTTGATAAATTAAAAAACAAATAGACCTGCAGTAAAATAATAATTCAACTAAAATCCATTAAATACCTAAAAAGCTTTAAACTGTCCTTAAAAAGAAAAATATGTAATAAAAGAAATTTAAATACTTGAAAACAAAATTATTAAAATGCACTGAAAAACTGAAAATAAACGCTCCTGAAACAACCTGAAAACAAAACGCATAAAACATTTCAGTATGAATAATATCAGTTCATTCTTTTCAAACAACATTCAATTGCTAAATAATGTTTTTTCGACAAACCAAGAAAAAAAATTGCATTTCAGATCACGTATGACGTTATGATTTTAATTTGATGCAATATAACAACTTTCTCTTAATATCAATGAAAGAATTAACTTGGCAATAACATATCGTGTCCAATTACTGTAACGTGAAACAAAAAAAAGTTGCCAATAACAGCTATTTATTTAAAATACTGATATTAGACAAATATTTTCGACGTACAATGACGTCACATGCGATCGTTTGCTTTCTTCAACGTCAGAATGTGATATTATATAATAATAACAAATTTAATGTTTGGCAATGTTATTTTTATTTCTTAATTTTATAAAACTTGCAAAGTTTTTACTGGCAAACTCTATGATTTGACAGCGAGCAGGTAACACTTTTCGAAATAGAGCAGATTTTTACCTCCAGGGTGCAAAACTGTTGCCACTCTAAAAAATGAGGGGGGAAATTAGCGTTTTCAGAGTTTTAATTAATATTTCCACTAATTAAAGTCGTACGAAGATGGAAATGGTCAAAATGAATTTTTGGAATCTGGGGGTACCACTCTCGAGATGCCTTTTGTCAAGAGAGACATTCTTTCTTCGCATAATTTCTATTTTGATTTGTTTGTGATCTGAAATTTCACTGCATAAATAAAAATCATATGAAGATCTATAAAAAGAGCGTTTTGGAGAAGAATGTGGTGTTTAGACAAAGAGTACGCACGCTTATAAAGACTATAAGATTTTCGAAGGAAGGAAGTGGAAAAATTGGCGTCAAATGGATTCGAACTGTGGTTCATGCAAATGGTAAGGGCTAGCTGGATGTACTGCGATTTACATAAGAGCATGTACGAACGAATGCAATAATTCTTTATATTCTTCCTTACTAAATGGGCGACTTGAGAGATACGCGAAATCCAGCCATGATAAATTCATGTGATAAGGAGTTATCGTGCACCACATATTCATTAGTTCATCATTTGAGAAATCTTTTATGCCTCCTCTCCTTTGGATTTGAGCCATGTATCTTCTAATTTCTAGCTAAATATACAACCACTTAAGTGACGAGAATATGTGAGAAGAGAGATAATTCTTTATACGTTACTTTTAAAAGTTTTTCAAAATTTATGTATAATTTATGCGCACACATATAGAGAAAAAGAAAGATATGGAGAGAGATTTACAAGAATATATAAAGCATACATTAAAATAAAATTTTCGTATTTTAATCGAGCATTAAGATTTTCCCTCTAAACAAATTCAAAGAACAAACTATACATGTTTACTGATCCTTGCTTAATAAGAAAATAACTGAAACATGAAACTTGCTTCCATTTACAAAAGAAATTCTACTTTGTTCTTCTATTATTAGAATGAGGATAATT